TCTAAAACATGCAGGTCATTTTGCCTTGAGGATCAGGGTTGGGAAACACTGGACTAAGGAACACAGCTGACTGGTCAGAAATAAAGATGTGAAAAAGTTTAAATCAACATTAGAATGTGGAGGAATAACATAAGGTTTGGTTATATCTGCTCATCATTCAAAACTGGAACAAAAACCTACTGAGACATATCCATCCTATACAGGCCAGGCTAGAAAAGCATTAATATAGGATGCAGCCAAGATGCCTGCGGTAACTCCGAGGGAGGAGAATGATTGGAAAAACTGTTGACAGAGGAAAATATTACTTTCTTCACTTTGCAAAACTGTTATTTATGGAAGTGTCGGAAGAAGAAAAGGTATGTTTTTAGATGAAACCATAAAAAGTAATTTGCAGTTTCCCATGAACCTTGTGGGAGACACAGTAGGGGGTAGTATCATGCTGTGGGAATACCATTATGGAGAAAAGGACAGGAGAGAAAGAGAATATATGTATGATTTTTCTTAACTTTAGCAGTAACCTGTGGTTAACGTTTTCAAAATGGTTCCAACTAGAGTAAGTAAAATATAATTGCCTGATAAAATAATGCATTTGGATGAATTATTTCCAAGAGAACAACCCCTATTTAAAGGAGCTGTTTGAAATTCTGAGTTTGACTCCTCAAATACAGTCTCTCTCTTCAAAGCTCTTCTTTTGACAAAATCAGCATGAACCCAACTGCAATTACATGAAACATCTAATGTTGAATATACAGCTAACACAAGCTGTCAACTGCTCCTCTGAGTGCATCAAACATGTAACCTCTATTCTGATCTGCTGCTGAGACTCTAACTAAAAACGTCTCTTTAAGATTCTTTCAAATGAAATCTCTTTGATCAGTGCAAAACTGTAGGACACTTACTACTACTAACTACCCCACATGACTCCACTTAATTCATATAATCAGTTCAGGTTGATTTTTTTTTTCGAACTAGAACAATAATATGCAAAGCCTTCCAAAACATTTTTTTTTTAATTCAAAGTAAATCAGTACAGCAGTAGAAATAGCATAGTGCTTTATATTTTAGAAACTATAAAATGCTGCTTGAAACTGTCCAACATCACCAGAGTTTTTTTCCACCCCACTGATACACACACATCCCTGCCACCTTCACCACTATATTTTCAGTTTCTCAGAAGTATCACTGAAACTGTGGGTTATCTGGTCAGTTAAACGGTTTCTATTTTTACAAGCAACTTTTTTAAAACAAACATGTAGAATCACCGGGTGTGAAACTTCATGGCCGGGAAATGGGGAACAGAATGAGGATCCAGTTTGGGGAAGAGTCACAGGAAGATGCCACTTCACACATCACAATGTGAGCTGACGTTCGTTAAATCCCAGAAGCTCCTCAAATGGCTTCTACCTTACCGTAAGCACAAATTCTGGCAATAACACTTTGTGGTCTACAAATCACACCAAGAACAATAGACTATTGTATTTTCTTGTTGAACCTATACAAATAAATGTAAGCATTGTGTCAATTCCAATATGTTGGATGTTCAGTTGCTTAAAAATACAGTGCCTTTTCTAAGTGGGGTTATCTGGAGAGGGTTTGAGCAATCAGTAGATAACTGTGTGCATGAAACTACTTTGTGCCAGCCGGAACATTTTAATGTTGATAGTATTTTTAGGACATTTTAGTATTTTTCTCTGAGTTAGTATTTATTTAGAATCAATGCTCATTTGTATTAAAATAATTAAACTGGTAATAAACAAGCAATGCAATTATTATTTTTTTCTCTAAATCTGAAGGACAATGGGACTAACTCTAATTACTGTTTAAATACAAATGTCTATGAAGGATGAGTTAATACCTAGGAAGATCTTAAGAACAATGATTAAACTACGTAAAAGACTACAAGGACATCATGGGAAAGAGGCTTTGGAACATAAAATTCTGGATTTTCATGCCTAAACATAATCTGAAGAAGAAGATTTGAATAAAACAAAAAGTTCAGAACCAACTTTGATCTGTCCGCTTCCAGGACAAGAACCACCAAAGCTAGAACTGGGAAGAATGCCTTATGTCGTGACCCTTTGAGGTCTCTTAGATCAGAGTTTGTCCTTCCTTCTTAGTTGATCATTTCAATTGTGTTTTCATTTTTCTTCATCATTGCCACAGTCTATGAACTTACTTGTTTTATTTGTTCATTACTATGCCTCAGTTCTCTCTCTTGATATTTTGAAAGCTAAAATGGCGTCAGTTTAAGTTATATAGCAATTCTCTTCAGTAAGAGACTAATTGTAGAAACTGTCTGTTGAGGTTTAAACATTTTGAGGTGCGATCTCCCACATGTTCATCCATTGAGTTTGTTATATTTGCTTTATTCTTGCAAGGTTCAAGGGACTGGTGTCTATCTCCAGAGGCCAAGAGGCAGGATTCATTATGGACCGATTTTAGGCTGGAGACACACACGGCATACGTATACAGGATTAAGAAATTAGAACTAGAACCTCCTTCCTGCAAAGCAGCAGTTCTACTGTGAAACTATTTGTTACACAGAAATCACACATAAAAAATGCAAAATTTTCTATGTGTAATATATTAGCTGACACTAAATGTTGCCTCAGTATGACCAGTTAGAAACAGCAAACGAAACTGACAAGTTGTCAGCCGCCACTAAGTGACAAGTGTTATGAGTAAACAGACTCTAGGTGTAGACCAGTCACATCAGAGGTACTGTGATGGTTTTGGCTTCCGGATATTTTTAACATTTGTCAAGCTGCAGCTCACACAAACAACAAAGATCTGGGTTATACATCACATCAAAGGCATACAGACACCAGCAACATACAATGCTGAAGCATTAATATTACAGTTTGAACAATTTCAAGTGAAGCTCATGACATTGTCCGTGACATTTACTGATGTCTTATGGCACATGAATTGCAAATTTGTTGGTGGACCAAAATGCAGAGCTGGGAGCATGAATTATGTAGAAGAATTTCATGAAAAAATAAAGAACAAAAACTTACAACCCCCCTCCTAAAAAAATAACATGGAGACACAGACAATGCAGTGAGCCCGAGGAGAACAAAAATCACAGAAACCCAGGAAATAAAGAACAACACAGAAACTGCAGGGAGATAATAGGTTATAACAGGACCCAAAAGGAGTGTGACAGATTTGTTAAAGTACTGGGAGTGAGGCACTATGGACCTGGGCTGCAGGCGTGAGGGGAGAGACAGAAAAAGTGCCACAGGGGGCAAGGGAGAGTACACAAGGCTTTGGGAAACGAATCTAACACTAAAGAATAACTAGACCTAAGAAACATAATAAAACTAGAGAAACAAGAAACAACTAGACACAAAAACAATTATAAACAAGAAACACTAAGGAAGGACTGAACCAAAGCATAACAGAAACATGGTTGATTTAATCAAAGAAAACTAACTAAGGAGCACAGAAAGTAACAAAAACCCAAAACCAACTCAAGAAACCAAGATCCAGGCATAGATAGATAGATAGATAGATAGATAGATAGATAGATAGATAGATAGATAGATAGATAGATAGATAGATAGATAGATAGATAGATAGATAGATAGATTTTATTACAGACTCAAAGTCCAATGTACATAAAGAATATAACAAATACAATAAAATAATAAAATGTACAATAAAAAAGGTTCCTAAAAATTCAGTACTCCAAAGTACAGATGAGTATTTTACTGCACTATATTTAACGTTGGTCAGCAGTAGAAGAACATAATTAAGAAGCATAAGTTTTTCTTGACTGGTCAAATATGGGAGAGATCTTTGCATCCCTCAAATAATAAATGTTTTGATACTTATATAAAGCATCAAAACATGAGATGACAAGTTGGCAGATAATAAAACTGACATTTTGGATGAATAACTAAGAAGTAAAATGTTAAAATGGAAGATATGTCCTATCCAATTTTGAAGCTATTAAAAAACAACTAAAGGTAATTTTATTAACTATCTTCTAGAGATTTTTAACTCAAAAATATTGTCTCGAAAATGGTTCCTCTTCGCCACTTTTGCACAGCTTAGTTTCTGCGAGAGCAAACATTCTACTGTCATACTTTCATACATTTAAAATGCTTTGTCTTTAGCTTTCCTTCAAATAAGCTGTGCAATTTTCTTTGCTTGTTGCAGTGCGATACATTCCCTGCAAGGGAGCCTCTGTCACTCAGCAGACAGGATGCAGAGAAAAGGTGGTGGTCTGCACAATGCATCAGTTCTAACGAAAGGAAGTGACAATCAGAATCTCTTCAAACCACGCTTCTCCATGTTTTAGGACACTGAAACTGTGTTGCATGAAATGACTTTTGTTGACTCTTATGCCAAATCTTATTTTTCAGTTAACTGAGATTGCCAGAAAACCCATTTAGCACTTTGCATAACATAATAAAACCCTTTTATATTGTTTCCTTATATTGTTTCTTTTCCAAGTTGGCGTACTTTGTTACTGATGTAGTTTTGAACATTCTGTTCTTTTTCAATGATTCTTGTCAGCAAAAGAGGAAAAATGGCACACTTGTCCCTGACAGCACTGTCTGATGAAGAAAACAAGCGTTAAAATAACTGAAATCATGAAGCCAAAAACTCTTTGACCTAGATGATTTATACAGTTTCTCAGATTCTTACCCAAAGTGAGAAAACTTGGTACTTTTCCCCTCCCTTTAATAACTTAATTAGGTGTGCAAGCAGCTCTCTATTCTGACACATCGCGCTACATGTAGGTGTCTATAATCCTCTACTGTAGTTTCCCCAATTATTGCGCCACTATTGATGGTAAGCGTAAACAGAAGAATAATTGTAGGGAAATGAGCATAGAAAAAAAAAAATCAAGAAAAGACTTCAAAGAGTCACTGCAATGGTTGTCTGCAAGGGTGACGAACACAAGCTCCCCCCACCCCTGACTGGTTGTGGTTTTGCTCTAACTCATATAAGTTGAGATGTGAAAATGTGACGTTTCTGGGAAACACAAACCAGTTACTCGAACACAGGTTGGCTTCATGGGCTCTCCTACACTCAGTTATGATCATCTTTCTACTTTACCTCATGGAAACTTTTCAGCACTTGAGTTCACTAAATGGATACGTGATATTTCTGCTCCTTGCAACAATCAGCACAGGTAAACTCGTCATTTTATTGTCTCTAAGGAGCCATTGTTAAACTTTTACTGACAGCAAAATGATTTCTAGATAATAATCTTTCAAATGAAAGTGACAAATCTACTAAAAGTATAGATCAGCCGCAGAACATTGGTTAGCTTATCAGCATTATGTGGTTTGCACTAGCAGGTGACATCCGCTCAGCGCTGTCTGGGCTGCCTCAGCGAAGACCTACTGATCAAATTCAAATCGATACCTAACCTGTTATTCATATGCTAGTTTAAAGTTACTTTCAGATTTCTGTTCAAATTCACTTCAAACTCTCCTTGGAAGAGGAAAATATACATATATATATATTTTATGGTGAATGTTATGCCACAAAAGTGTTCAAGTGGATGTGCCTAAAAAAGAAAAGGGAAAAGAAACACAATTGCAGAAAAATCTACAGCAAACCCCCAAGGGGGAGTGTAAGGAAATCCATTTATTGAATAATTTGGCTTAACAGCTGCAAAGGAAAAAAACAAAAACAAAAACATTCCATTTAATCAAACTGATCATTTTTTTGTTTGCTCAAATATATAATTTCTTGACCTAAATAGATGTGTAACACTGCTTTCTCCTAAGGGTCAGCATGTGAAGCTCCTTCCAGTCCTCTGTGCTTCCGACAAGATGAAGACAAGAATGTTTACATCTGTGAATGGGATTTCAACACCAATGAAACAGACGTGACATTTGACTTGTACTTTAAGTGAGTACTGCTCAGTGTTTGAAGAGGCAGATTTTGCAAACAGAACTCCTAAAAGAAAAGTTGAGCAGCATGTAGATAAACTCCTTTCAGTTCTCTCTAGGGACTAAGCAGGCAGGAGACAGGTCACCATTTCCTCTAGTAGGAAAGCGAAGCTGTAATACTGCAGATTTAAATGTCATCAGGAGGGTTTACCATGAATAGACTGAATGCTTTATTTATCAAAACATACTAAATGATTGCTAAATTGGTGCAAATGATTTGTCCTTTGTGTGATGTTTTATACTGAAAAAAAAACGGTTTATTATTTTATGTTGCAGCTCTGAGGTTAATCTTAGCCAGTGGTTATCTGTAGAGTGAACTATAGGGTCATGAAATGCCACATGATAAAAGCAACAGTACTGAATGGATAAGAAGAATAATACAAACAGTCATAAAAAAATAAGTGCACTCTTGCTGTTTCCGTAGGATTAAGGTGGGTCTGACAACGACTCTTGATGATAAGATCATCAGCAGTACCTGTGTATATAAAAAAAAAAAAAAAACATTTTGGCACCTTACAATTTCCAATCAATCCTAGCTATCAAACAATGCAATCACGTTCAGTTCATTATTCAACTTGGTTAAAAAAAATTGCATTGAGCGCTGGAGTTCTGGAAGACTGTGGTGCAGAAGCTTGGAAGTTTGAGATCATTATGATAGGAGGTCAGGAGAGCAGAGGCTGTCTGGGCAGCAAGTCAGGAGGCCATCAGCAGAAGCTGAGCAACACAGGAGGGAGATTTTGCAAATGCTTGGAGACTGAAAGCTAGCATCGCAGGAGCTTTGAGGCCAGCAACAGTGGAGTAGTAGAATCCAGAATTCGACGACGGTGACTGAGGATTCTGAAGACCGATCCTGAAGGCGGAAGAACCCAGATGATGTCTGGCGACGAAGGCGGAGGAACATTTGGGTAGACAATACTGGAGGCCCAAGGAGCATTGTAAGACAGGGACCCATGGAGGAGCTCTGTAGGCTGGAACAGTTGGTGTGTCTGGAGCCCATTCAGGTGCTCAGGAGGCTGGCACTGAAGCCAGAGACATCCTTGGAGGAGCCCAGAAAGAGCTAGGCTGTCAGAGAGGAGGATAGCAGCAGCAATTTCAGCTTCTGCTGCTGCAGGAGAGAGCTGAGTAACTTCTGCTGCTGCCTTGAGATCTGTTGGGGCCGCTGCAGGCGGGGCGTCTGATGGTCTGATGGGTGTTATGGTTTTGATACATGACACTAGTTGTGAATCTTGGAAATGACAGCGAAGAGGAAGAGGAGAAGTGCAGGCCACAGCCCGATCTCTTGGAGAAGGTGTAAAAGATCAGCTAGACCCACCTCATGTGGAGAGTGCAATGCGTCGGATACCGATGCACAACACTGCTGGTTGCACTGGTGTCCTCAATGCGGACAGGTAGACCAAAGAGAAGCAGAGGACCTCACAGGAAGCCAGGGCAAGAAAACAGAAGAAAAGCTTTAAGGAAAGAGAGAAGCTACATCACTAGGGAGTTTTATTACTGACAAGGGCCAGGTGGCTTATTAGTAAAAGACTTCTGCTAAGATTCGAGGCCAGACAGAGAGAATGAAGGCAAGAGAATGACAGCACAAGAGGAGCTGAAGAGGATTAAACATAGACCGGAAACAGGCAAAACTAATCAAAAAGAGACAAAGAATAGAACATTGTAGGTACACACAAAAAGTTATGATTGGGTCGGCTTTCCACAAATAATATGGACTATTGTAGACAGAACAATCAACAAATAGTGAATCATTAACAGGCCGAAGTCCACTGTGGTTTGAGAACCATGAAAGAACTAGTGCTATGTTTCTCACACTAAGTGTAGTTTAAATGAACAAGAACTGCACAAGTTTAACACATATAACTGTTTCCTACATATGATGTTGATGAGAATTACAGTAAAATAAAGTTCATGCGAATAAAAAGTGTGTATATAGATCAAATTGTGGTTTTAGTATGGCAAGTTGTATTTACTCATTTTACAAACATGTATTTAATTTGATCATTTTTACATCTCCATTTTTCTTGCTAGTGACAGTTCTGAAATTCCCAATAATGAAAAAATTGGAGACATTAAGGAGAACCACATAGAGCTCGGTGAGGAAAGACTGATAGTTACTTTAAGAGTTGACATGTGGGTGAAGGCTCGTGCTGGAAAATCTATCTGCACCTCACCTATATGGTCTGGAATATTGCAACATACAGGTACTGGATGCACCAAACAACACTCAACCATATGTTTTCACAAAATGTTTAACAGTTGTTTTTCTCTGCAGTTAAATATGAACCACCACAAAATATAAATGTGTCCTGGTTGAGAAACGATCTCAGCTTGAGTTGGGAGTCTAAATATCCATCTGTAGCTGAGGTCTGGTTCAGGAAAGATCACACAGAATCATGGGAAAAAGTAAGGTTCATTGCTGTTTCTTTACAAGTTCTTATGTTTTTAAATTTCTTTTAAGCTACCTATTGATTAATGCTAATTTATGTTGACATTTTCTTACAGAGACTAATGAATACTACCAATAAAGCTCCTATGCGTGAGTGCACAAATATTCCTTCAGTTATGTCTTTCAAATTATATGTGAATCTCTGGATTTCTGCCTATATTCTTGTTTCCTTTTCCTGCTCTGAAAACACTGCATGTTTGATATTAAAATGTAAAATTGCCTGGGCATAGTAGATGGTAGCTCTGTAGCCTTTCAGCAAGAAGGTTCAAACTCTGAACATGATTGACAGCGCTAAGGCCCTCCTCCTGCCTCTCATTGGTTGCTTCTGACCAAGTGGTGTAATTCTGCAGAGTGTTGTAGGACCACAGGGAGGCAGAAGAGGAGCTCCATGTTTTCATTGATTATCTGTCTCATACTATGCTGTCATGACATAGCAATACTTTTTACAAATATTTTAAAAAATATATTCTTGATAAAAGTTACCTACTGCAGCTTTAATGTAGCTGAATGTAGTCCATCCATTTTGTTTAGAAATTGATGGGTAAATAAAAAGATTCAAATAATAGTTAATTTATTTTTTATTGAAACAGAAAAACTCCTTGTTTTTACAAGAATGCAGCTTACCATGTTCAAATCAGATAGATGGAGAAGGTAGATACCTTTAGGCCAGATGCCTAAAGGCAGAAAACTAGCAAACATACGTAAACACCTGTCATAAAACAATATAGACATCTTTAGAAATACAAATCCATACAAACAAAATGTGCAAATTCACAATCCTGGAGAAAGCCTGTTAGTAAGTTAAAGTATAGTGATATTTGGCAGCAGCGGCAGCATCACATAAAGGAAACAGACAATAAGCTCAACAGAAACATGTTCCTTTAAAATTCCCATGCAAAATCTTGTGTATGTGGAACAATACCAATAACAAGTCACCGGTAATAATCAGACTGAGTCTTTGTTTAAGATGATTGCATGTGGAAGGAAAGGCGTTCTGTATGTGGAGCCAGCATTGGTCCAGGTTGTCCATGATGGATGATAATTTGTTCAATATCTTCCCCTCCTTCACAGTCTCAAAATCAGTTCAACATCAATTACTCAGTCAAACCCAAATCTGATTGCTTGAAATAAGCACCAATATTAAAACCACTGTAAATTACACCATCCTCTACAGCTGCAATCCTATTTAATTCACAGCTTCACATAGCAACATATTTTATTAAAACTCTTGAAATATCAATTTGGTATTATTTAATAATCAAAATTGTTATAATTTGTAGAAACTAATGCACATCATTAATAATTACAATGTTGAGATCTTGGTGATTGGTTGATATTTTAGTTGATGTTGATGTTCTGACCCTATTCAGGGCATGGTTTTTCTTTCCACGTCTAGGTTTCATGTTTTGTTTGCATGGTTTGTGGGTTGTTTTTCTTTTGAAGTTCAGTATTGCTCTTTATGTGTGTGACTGAAGGTACTAGGGTGTGGTAAGCTCTTCATTTAGAAACCTAGTTGCTGTTCAGCAGGGTTGTGTGTTCTCATTTAAGGTTGGCTAAAGTTGCATGATTCATTTCTCTGGACACCTTCACAAAAAAAATCTGCATATTTTTTTAAGTTCAAGTAGAGCAAACATAAGACAAAAATCACCATGTAATGTGCAGCTCTGAAAAAAACGATTCCTGTTTTTCCCCAGGGGTTTCATGTTTGTACAATAAGAAAGACGTATGATTAATCAGTCATCCATTATATCTTTGGTGTGTTATTATCTTTCATCTGAGATGTGCACTCCTATTGCATATGGACTAATAACTTACATGCAAAATTCAGATATCTGAATTTTGCATGTAACTATAATGAGGAAACTATAATGTATGTTAGAACCGTTGCCTTGCAGCTTGAGGTCTCAGGTTTGCATTCTGGTTTCTTTCTTCATGGTGTCATGCTTAGTGGTGTTGAGCTTGGACCAAGGCACAGGAAATCTGACAGTTCGTCCTGAACAGTTTAACAAAGAAAAACGGAACAACGTACAAAACTTGGTTTGTGGCACAACAGCTATAAATATGACGAGAAAGGAGTGGAGAGCGATACAGGAACCAAAAATGTAATCATAGGCAGTGAGGAACAGTTGGGGAGTGAATGGAAACTGTGTGTTACCCTGGACTGCACTGGGAACTTGTCCATGGTGTAACCCGCATCTCGTTTAATCGCTTAATGGAGATAGGCACCAAGCGGTGTATTTATGCAGATCGGATGCACAGAGGAGCAGATATAGAAAATGGATGGGTAAACAAAAAGATTTCAGATAACAGTTAATTTATTTTTATTGAAACAGAAATACTCCTTGTTGTGAATCTTCTGAAGAATACAGCTTACCAGGTTCAAATCAGACAGAGGTCCATCCAGGCTGCAAACCCGCTGTGGAGCGACTGGTCACCAGTTGTGATGGTTCCTGCAGGTAAACCAATGTAATTCCCTGCTTTCTTTTAGTACAGCTTAAAACTATAAGCATACATGTAAGCTTTTAAATCCTACAAGGTACACACAAAAATCATGCTTACTCATTGAAACTGCACAAGTGCATGCAACTGTACCCACAAAGACAGAACTTTTCTGTAGATATAAAATGAGCTATAACCATTAATCTAACCTCAAAATTTCAATGGTTATATTATCTTTGTAAACAATGTAAAGACTGTGTCTGTATTTGTGAAAGTAAATAAAAAAGACAGAGTGCTTTAAAAATACAATTTCGGTCTGACTAAAACAAAAATGTGTAAAAAATATTTTTATTATTATTATTTTTCCAACAGAATTTGAACAACCTCCTTTAGTTCGGAGCACAACAACACTCTTAAATGGCACTCGACAAGTCAACCTGACTTGGGAGGTAAGTAAGTTTAATTTACTGGATATTTTGTTACATAATGGCTGCACAGTGGTGCAGTTGGTAGGGCTATTGCCTTGCAGCAAGAAGGTTCTGGGTTTGATTCCCGGTCTTTCTGCTTGGAGTTTGCATGTTCTCCTGTGCATGCTTTATCTGGTAATACTTACATGTTACTGAAATAGTATACATTTTGGCAGAACTGGACACAATTTTGTGTTCAAATTTTTGCATCACACATATTAATATTACTTTTAAAGTACTATTTATCAGTCATATTGTGTCTTTGGGTCATGGGTTTAACAAATTTGTAACAAACTGGGTCTGTGTTACTTCAGGCGAGTAGCATAAGGTCTTTTAGAAACCAAATGATTCGGGGATTAAAATACTAACTTTGAGGTCTGCAAGTCCTTCCAGCTCCTTGAAAGTCAAATATGAAGAAATTCTAAATAACTCCAGGCTATTAAACTGTAGATCCCAGCCTTTCACTTCAGCACAAACTGAGATTTGTTTCCTCTGTGTTTCCACTCTGACTCATAGAGCGGCAAAATATTGTGGCAAACAGTTAACGGGTGAAACACAAGTCATTCACAGTACATATTCTTCACCAGTCTGGAAGCCTTGCTCTGTTGCTCCATCCTGTCTGTCTTACTCTTTCAGCTTGTGGCTTATTTTTTATCATGCATAACAATTTTTTTTTTTAAGAAACCTGTCTGATTCAAGTACTTTCAGATACCTTCTGCACATTACATGCAACTTTTTAGAGAATTCCCCAAAACCATCAACAGATTTTCTAAGTCACTAGCTCTCCTTTGTGTTTTTATGCTGCACTACTGTGCAGAGGGAGGTGGGGAGTTTCCATTTGTTTCTGTAAATAATTCAATCTCTGTTCGTCTCATCAGCGGATGCCCCAGGCAGCAGCCGTGACAGGGGTGACTTATATCGTAGACGTCACACAATCCTTCCTAAGGTGTCCCTGTAACACTGTAGGGGGGACGAGGAAGAAGAAGAGTCACAATATCAAGCTGAACAGACACACTGTTTATGTGTCATACTCAGCCGCCAACATCACTGTTATTGCCAGAAACGCGGCAGGGTTGTCTCCTCCAGCAGTCGTGCATGTGCCAGCTGCTTCTGCCCCAGATTTAAAAAGTAGGTCCTACAGACTGTGTGCATGAACATGTTTATTTCCTCATGTCAACCACAAGTGTTTTCATACCTTTCCTCGCTCGTAGCTTGTGATGAAACAATGCTGGATAAGAAATTAAAGAAACACGTGTGCCTTGAGTTTTACGAGCTCCAAGATGCAGATTTGATACCAGAAAGAGTTTGGTGTTTAACGTCAGAGAACACAACAAACAAAAGAAAGGAAATCAAAGACAGTAAGTTGGATATAATGGTTTCTGCACTATGTTTTATATCACATCTACCTATGTAATTTTTGCAGTTTTGCTCTTCCATGATGAAAATGATCAAATGTGGCTCCCCAGACAGCTGAAGCACCTGTTCTGTTTCCGTTACAGACATGAAGGACTACACACGCTACCTTTACTTTGAACACAAATGTCAGGATGGCAAACCACAAACGAGGAAAATGTGCCTATACTATAAGAAAGAGGGTGGTAAGTGTGTGCACTCAGCACTATAAACCTCAATATGATGCAGGTGGAACACTGCATTGTCAACATTCCTGTTCATATGTGCTGTTATACTCCTCAAACATTGATCATTTCTTTACCAGCTCATACTCCCATTTGTCATCCATGCCGTTACGCTTCACTTAGTTGTTTCTTTCTTGGTAGTTAAGTATTTATGCTAAAGTAGAATAAATGATCCTGAAAAATTCAACTCTCTTGTGCAATTTATTCAATTGTTTATCAGTTCTGATCATGTAACATCACAATCTCTTTCCATTGATCGAGGTGAAGACAGATTTGGAAATTGAATTAAGACAGATCAAACAAACTTAACAGAAATTTTTTTTTGTCATATTTTGTCTCAAAAAAGAACATAGTATCTAAAATTAGAACATATGGTTTTCAATTAAATTGTGATTAATTAATTACAGACTTTGCAATTAACTATATTAAATGTAATCAAGTACCACTACTAACAAAAACTATTTCACAACCAAATTATAATCAAGTGGGTCAGTCTTGACCGGTACAATCTGGCTCTCACTTAGTTCTGATTCTGTATTTCTTCAGTAATCTATCCATCAAGCTCTTCAATGGGAATCATTAACAGATAACATTTAAGCATGTGCAGCACAAGAGGCAGAAACAGCCTGATAGTTTATCAGTTATACTGAAAATGGGGTGTCCCTTTTCTCACTGGCTTAAATGTTTAATAATCATTTTGAGAATTTTCAATTCGGGTTTTGTATGTCTGTAAAACCTTAGTTATGATTTTTTGCATGAAAATATCTGTGCATATTTAAACTCTTACATGGGATTTTTTTTTTTTGCACATTTTTGCAAGAATTGTCTCCATGTATGTCTCTGTTTTTGCATAGTTAGTGGAAATGCTATGGAACAAATTACATATTTTCATATTTTGTTACTATTACAGTGAATACCACTTCGTAGTTTTATCCCTGGACACAATATCAAAGTCGACAGGACAAATAATAGATATACAAGTTATTATTGTTGTTTTTGTTGTTTCAGTGCCAAGCAAAGAGCCACAGAACTTCATGACTGTTTCTGACACACACGACTCTGCTGATCTAACCTGGAAACAAATTTCATATGAGCACCTCCGTGGCTTCCTCACACACTACAAATTATGTACTGTAAAAATAAATTCACAGAGCAAGCCTCCAGGTTTGAAAGACTGTCTTTTATCTAATGGTTTCTCTTAATTTGTAATGAGAAAGAAAATATATTTGCTTGTGTTTTGTCTCATTTGAACAGAGTGCATCAACAAATCCGCATCAGCAACAAAACACCATCTGAAAAATTTAACACCGGCGACCAAATACAACGTCACCCTGGCCGGAGTGACACAAACAGGAGAAGGGCCGGTAGCCATGGAGAGTTTTACCACACTGCGAGAGAAGCCTTTCAATGGTATCAAGCCTGCAAATTCAACTGTCGAAAAATGGGCTTTTGCATAGATCTGCATACTTTAAAATCACAACAGTGAATTTTCAAGTTGTAAATGTCTTATCCTTCTGCTTTTTAATCTACTATTTTGTCCTTGTCCTTAGTGTGGATAAGCTTTGGATTGTTGCTTGGGTTTTTCCTCTTCTCAATATTTTGCACCGTTGTCCTAAAGAGGTTTGTGAGAGTTTCTTTTGCAAATATAATATCAAATGTCAATGTCAAAGTTCTTCACAAATACGCAGTTTAGTGACAAAATGTTAAAAAGTTCAGCTAAGCTAAGTTTTGTGAGACCCCCTATTTCATGTTAAAATAATGTAACAAGTCTAAGTTTTTATTTTTTTAAAGGTTGTCATATATTGCTACCCTCTATTTAAAATTTCTGATTATTTATATTCCTTTGTCGTATGCTGTCGTATTGTTTATTTAATTTTCCACTCTCCAATTCAATGTCTTTTGTAATCTAGCTGTATTTTCCAAATAGCTCACATAAAATTTGATCGTACGATAGGATTCATGAGTACTATTTTTGTTTACGCTGGATTCTAATCATGTTTGTCCTATTTCACAGCTGGCTTTCTGAAAACAAGGTTTCACAAGTTGCTGTTGTGTAAACATTTTCTGTTCTTGTAATGTTTTAGAATCAAAACCAAGGTGTTCCCTCCTGTGCCGAAACCCGTGATGCCAGACTTCAGTCTTCGTCCACCAGAGAGCGAGGTAAGAAGCTGCGTCTCCACTGATTTCTTCTTAAACAATATTTTCATATAATATAAAACTTTGTTTGGCTCAAATTTCACCATTTCTGCATCTAGTCTCTTGAGGTATTTTTAAATATACCTTTAGTGTATTTTAAAAATGCACTAATTTGGGAACATTGGTTTCAAGAAGGAAAGTCCCTATCAAGCATATAGAAAGATGATGTGAAAGAACTACTAACATTTTATTTCCCCACAAAGCAGAAGCATGTTTTTATTTAAGGATCAAACAAATTAAATTTGACGTAAATACATCAGAGCAAGTGGTAAGCAAATAGATTTTTGGCTTATCATAAACAAGGAAAAATAGCACACTTCAATTTATCCATATAACAATGTTATTAATTATGTCACATCATAAAACTGTATAAAGCATTTAGAAAAGAAAGCATTAAAAAAAGGATATATGCAAAATTCAAATTGTTTTAATAAAATGTGAATTTTCAGTCCAAAACCAGCCATACAGTCATACAGTCAAAGGTTCTTACAGCCCAGCTACTAATTATATTCACATTTCCTTACACAAAAGTACAATAAGAGCTATCAAATTGTTATATAAGAGAAATGTGTATTGCATCCCAGGATTGCCATTTAAAACTTGTTCAAAACATCAAGAACCAAAAAAAAAAAAAAAAAAAAAAGATAAAAAGTTCTGTATGAAAATTACTGAGTATAATTTACTGGTATTACTTTCATCTTTGATACCAATGATCGTAAATTAAACTTTGTAGTTGTTCCTGTCCCCCAGAACACTGACTCTGTTCTCTGCCGTTGTGACCCAATAACAGGAGATGTGGGAGAGGAAAGAGGAAGTGCACGAGGTCACCCTACACAGGCTCATTCCAGATCAGAAACCCGTTTCAGAGGCCACAGTCCTGAAGGGCGAATGGGATGATGAGGCAGGGCGGCAGGCGGAGAAGGACGGGTGCTGCTCGGGAGAATCTGACGATGAGAGATCGAGTGTTGCCTCAGGAGATGACACTTTGAGGAAAGCAGACTTGAAGGGCCTGGAACAGGTGGAGACAGAGCTGGCCATGCTGATATACAGGAATGGTTTGGTGTTTGATGTGAAGTCAGAATCACTTTGAGTCACTTTAACTATTCAACTGCCTCAACAGCACAAGACTGTGCAAGCATTGGACAGAGTTGCTGACAAATGTTTCCCTTTGTAAATAAAACTGTTTATACAAATGTGATTTTTTTAATTTAATTTTGTATTTCTTTTTCGTTTACTTTGTGTGTATTTTCTGAAAGTTACTGATGTCTAACTCAACATGAATTCAATAAGGTGCCAGTATTATATCAGAAAGCAGAATAATTCACTACTGCTTCATTTTTGCACATTAATATTTTTCACACTTTTCAAAAGATGGAAGGGAAATCCTGAGCTGGTTTGTAGCATTTTCATATCTTCATTGTATTTTTCTTTTACTGCCTATTAAAGTCCAAGTAGTCAGTATCTTTGTTTTCTTTTCTCTTCCATTGTCAAACGCGTATGTAGTTTTCTTTTCCAAATCTTATAACTTAATTTCTAAACATGTTGTAGTAATTATTACAATTATTGCAGTCTTGAGGGGCGTCTTTGCAACAACTCTAAGTATAAAGCTATAATGTCTTCATCTCTATTAAAATCACACTGTATTTTAAGTATTCATCAAGTTTTACTTATTTTTTTACTCTGATGGTTAAGAGTCTGGCTTGTTATAGGTTATTGTAAAAATGCACACAGCAGTTAAAAACAAACGCACATGATGGCTCAAAAATTAGAAAAGTAAACCTCCAGCATGTTTTGAGGTAGCTACATGACAGGAAGTGGTCACAACAAAAGAAAATTATTGACCTTAAAAAAAGAAGCAAACAAGGACAAACTACTCATTACAAGAGGCACAAAAGCTTTTGATCTCTCTTATTCAGACTAGAATATGTCCTGTTATCTGCACACACACAACAAAAGAGCTGACCTACTTGTATTTTCTACCGCAGTGCACATGAATTTGAGAGTCTCTTATTGCTTAGCTTGAAAGACCAAAACCAGCAGAGGGCATCTTCTGTAACCCAAAATTAAAAGTGTCTATCTTTCACCACATCGAGATAAAGACTTCCCAGTTTTGACCACAGGCGGGACGCCATGTATCTGGTGAACAATCTGTGGTCATTACGTAGCATAGAGTTTTGTCTACGTGAGCATAACAGTAAACATTCAAGTAAAGCTTCAATTGCTTCCAGCTAAATTATTATTATTTTTTTTTTTAAACTGTGAAGTTTCAGTGAATTTTGCACTATATGTTTCAATTCTGGTTTGCACCCCCATTGTGCCTCTGTATCGTTCCCCAAAAAGGGATGCAAGTCATATGTATATAAGGGCGCTCAACAACAATGCCATTTCCCTTCATGCATATATATATATGTGTATAAAAAATGACAAATTTCATAACTGCACATTTCTGTAAATTTAGTCTGCAAAGGCCTCTGACTGAAGATTGTTGATGTATGACAATCTCATGATTGTCATGACGTGCTAACAGCTTTATTTTCATGTTGCAGAGACAATGTTTCACAGGTCCTCAGTTAGCACCTCACTTTTTAAATCTCTGCTTGGCGGTATGATTAGAAAGTCTGGTACAGAGGCGTTCTAGTTAAGGATGTTTCTTGCCCATTATGATCGATGGACAAGATGGTTTTAACTGCCTGCTCCTTCTCTCTGCCTTCTTTTTCAATTTCTCTGGGAATTGTGATCATAGCTCAGGTATTATTTGAGCTTTTGAGATACATTTTGATATCACAAGACCAAGACAACACCTGACAACCCTACCTTGCCATTGCAAGGCTTCAAACAGGATGTTTTCAGACGAAAGTCTCGACTGAGGTTAAAGTGATACACAGTGTCATCAGTAAGTTGCAACTGAGATACGGAAACTGGAAGAGTGACTGTAAGGCATAGAGTGGATACCCTTAGGCCACATCCTACACTGATGACTGCTTTACTGTGAACAATAACTCTTTATGTTTTCCATAAATTTAACCTAAAAGGCAAATATTCAAACTTTTTGAGAGTAATTTTCATAGCATCAATCAGAAGAGCATTCATCTACTGATCATTGCAGATTCAGATCAACATGGTAATTTCATATTTTGCAAGCATATTTTTACCCAGTTTGATCTGTCAAAAAATTTTCTTCACAAATACAGAGTTGTCCGTTGCTGAATAAAGTCATTCGTTTCTTGAACAAAATAAAACTATTTTCATTAAGAGTAGAGATCTCTTATTTGTTGCCAGGGTTTTCATGTTAGGGAGAAGGAGCGCGTTACTCTGTCGGCCTCTAGTGGTCAGGTAGCGGCGGTACAGAGGAGATTCGTGTTTCAAACAGCCACCAATGGGGGACGGGTCATTTCTGTTTTCACCGCAGGACCTCAAACAGGCAATTGTACAGTTTTGGTCCTCCATAACCAACGGCTCTTTGCACGAAATAAACAAAAACAATAATGAATCAACCATTCGTGCCGATGATTTCCTGATAACATTCCCAAAAATGCTCTATGCGTGTTGGTATGTGCTAGAAGATGGCGGAGTCGGACGGTGGCGATTTTACTCCGAAACAGTCGGAGAACAGGTGAGTGAGCTGCAGTTCATGGTGTCGTAAGTTGGCGGTGTGTATCTGGTACCACGATGTCTCCCCACGGCCATTGAACCGGCTGTACTCCGAAGTGACTCGCGGCACGGCTTCTTCAGGTCAGGAAACACCGAGGCTGTGATTCGGCCTCCAGACCCTGGGGCTCCTTTAGCTTTATATATAACATGTCTTAAGCAGGTTAAATTACGTTTACATTAATAATACTTTACACAAGGCAGTTAACATTTTTTAAGTTACAATAATAATTTTCTTTAGTGATCACAATACCACAAGAAATTTGAGAATTCAGATAGAATATGAAAAGAGCAAATGTTTTATTTTTAATGAATAAATTTGGTTGTCTTAATTGATAGTCTATATCGCTATAGACAATCATAGTGTATTTCTCAAACAATAAAATTAAAACCCACTTCATAGTAAGTGCTTCTTTTTTTTGGGAGTATTTACAAGTTGTCTTTAACTTAACTTAAACAAAGTAGTAATAGCATTTTATTTTTACATGTTACCAGTATCAAATATTCAGATTAAGCAGTGTGTAAGTGTAAACTTTAAAAAATAAGAATGTAAAAAATGAAGGGAAAGAAGTAACTTTTTGTGGGTGGGTCACTCTGTTAAAATGATTGGATATTATTACCTTAATTTTTCAAGGGTTTAATCTTATTATTGCATCCAATGTCATTCTCCTCTGCTTTTCTATTTTTCCTCAATATTTGATATTTCCACTCAGAAAGAAAGAAACGAAATCTCTTTATGGATTTGTACAATTAGGATGACTTTGTGTAAATGTTTGTAAACATAAATATTTTCCCCAGGCCTCATTGTGTAATGGATGCATTTTTATATTTTTATTCTATCTGATGTGATGCTGAAAAGAGTTCTGGGACGACACTGTGCAGTGCTGTTTTTGTACTCTTATATGTTGTTTTTACAAGCAACTGATGGAGCAATATTTCCTTATTCTCTTATTGTTGTTTTTCCTTTCTAATTCCTTTAAGCATGTGAAGATTTAAAGTTCCTGGAGAGATAAATGGCTTTCTCTTTAGTGTTTTTTTCTTTGTACATACAAATGCATTCTCACTCATTCAAAAGCTCTACGCTAAATGCATTCCCCTCTGCTTGACTAGTAAATTACATTATGTTTCCATTAGAATGTTACTGGATACTACATATCCACACACTGGCCTGTTTTCATCAGCAGATAACAGCTTCTAGATGTAACAGTTCAGCTTAGATTTCTGTTAGGAATATATTAAATTTGCATTTGAAAAGGGGGGGATTGCATTCTAGCTTATTGATGGTTACAAGGCCTATTTCTCTTTCCAGTATGGCTAACAAGAATAGTACCCTGCGCTGTACTTTTTCCGCCCCGAGCCACAGTGCCACTCTTCTCCAGGGCTTGTCGGTTTTGCGGGCTCAGGGCCAGCTCCTGGATGTCGTGCTGGCTGTCAATGAAGAGCACTTCCAGGTCCATAAAGCAGTGCTGGCCGCCTGTAGTGATTACTTCAGGTTAGTCTGGAGATTTCACTAAGTCCATTTGGATTTTCAATCGAAAGCACTTAGCTGATGCTTGCAAAAAATAGGGTGGAAATAATGACTTGTAAAATAGTGTTGTTTTCAATGTATTATCAGAAGTTATTGAGTGAATGTTAATGGTGGGTGAAAATGTTCAGTAGGAAAGCCTACAGTGCCTTACAAAAATATTTCTACCTCTTCAACTTTTTTGGGTGGATTTTTATGGTTATTGTTTTGCTGTAAGCTGAACCTCCGTCCCAGTCACGAGTCTTTTGCAGCCTTTCTCAGGGCTTCTTCCACCTTGTCTTGTTGCTGGTTACATTTTCCCATTAACCTTGAGCATCTTCTCTTCCCCTGCTGAAGACATAGCCTTTCTACAGAACAGTGCCAATATAATTTTTTACTGTAGGGATGGTGTGTTTGTGGATGTGCAGTGTAACTTTTCCATACACAGTTTTTAATGTAGGCCAAAACTTTGACTTCACATTCTTCATGTTTGCTGTATCTCCTACATGGCGGTCAGCAAACTGAGCTTTGTTTTGATATAATGGCTTTTGTTGTCCATAATTAATATATTTGTATAGTTTCCCTGTAATCACATTTTTCCATCTCATCTGTAGATCTCTGTAACTCTTCCATATGCATTTTGGCTGGTTTTCTAAATAATATTCTCCTTGCCCAGCCTGTTAGTTTGTATGGAATGCTATGTCTTTGCAGGTTTGTGGTTATGCTACTCTCTTTCTACTTACAGATGATGATTAACCAGTGCTCAATGTGGCATTCAAATCTTGGGATATTATTTTATAGCACAGCTCCATTTTAAACTGCTCCTTGATCTTTGTGGTTGTTCAAACGGTATGAATACATTTGTAAGGCTCGGTAGGCAATTAAGCCAAAAGATAACCTTATTCTTACTTTTTATTCACTGACTGTTTACGCTAGACTCAGAAGAATCTCATACAACTTTTTCAAACAGAAGTACACTTGTAAATAATGTGATGTATTGTGCTCTTTTTGATTTCAGAGCTATGTTTACAGGAGGCATGAGGGAGTCAAACCAAGACACCATTGAGCTAAAGGGTTTGTCAGCCCGAGGGCTGAAACATATCATCGACTTTGCCTACAGTTCAGATGTAACTTTAGACCTGGACTGTATTCAGGATGTTCTGGGGGCTGCTGTGTTTCTCCAGATGGTTCCCGTAGTGGAGCTCTGTGAGGAATTCCTTAAGTCTGCAATGAGCGTCGAGACCTGCCTTCACATTGGGCAGATGGCCACCACGTTCAGCTTGTCTTCCCTTAAAGAGTCCGTGGATGCCTTCACCTTTCGTCACTTCCTCCAGATCGCTGAAGAAGAAGACTTTCTGCACATTCCTATGGAGCGCCTCATCTTCTTCCTGCAGAGCAACAAGCTGAAGAACTGCAAGGAGATCGACCTCTTCCACGCTGCCATAAGGTGGCTCCAGCATGATGAGTCCCGCCGGGCTCAGGCGAGCAGCGTCCTCTGCCACGTGCGCTTTCCACTCATGCTCTCCTCAGAGTTGGTAGACAGCGTTCAGACGGTGGACATCATGGTGGAGGATGTGCTATGCCGCCAATATCTCCTCGAGGCCTTCAATTACCAGATCCTTCCCTTCCGACAGCATGAAATGCAGTCCTCACGGACGCTCATCCGCTCTGACGTGTTGTCCCTCATCACCTTCGGTGGGACCCCCTACACCGACAACGACCGCACAGTGAGCACCAAGTCTTACTACCTTCCTGATGCTGCTTCCCGTCAGTTCAAAGAGCTGACAGAAATGGAGACAGGGTGCAGCCATTCCTGCGTCGCAGTGCTTGACAACTTTGTGTACATTGTCGGTGGGCAGCACTTACAATACCGCAGTGGGGAGGGGGCCGTGGACAACTGTTTCCGCTACGACCCGCATCTTAACCAGTGGCTACGCATCCAATCCATGCAGGAGTCTCGCATCCAGTTTCAACTCAATGTCCTGCAGGGACAACTATACGCCACTGGAGGCCGTAATCGATCCGGGAGTTTGTCTTCTGTTGAGTGTTATTGCCCAAAAAAGAACGAGTGGTCTTATGTGGAACCTTTGAAACGCAGAATTTGGGGCCATGCTGGGACTTCGTGCAGAGAAAAGTTGTACATTTCAGGAGGTTACGGGGTCTCGTTGGACGACAAGAAAACGCTCCACTGCTATGATCCAGTACCAGACCAGTGGGACTTCAAAGCCCCCATGAATGAACCCAGAGTGCTGCATGCCATGATCAGCACCCAACAACGTGTTTACGCTCTGGGTGGCCGCATGGACCATGTGGACCGCTGTTTCGATGTGCTGGCTGTTGAGTATTACAGTCCAGAAAGTGACCAGTGGACGACTGTCAGTCCTATGAGAGCAGGGCAGTCCGAGGCGGGCTGCTGCCTTCTGGATGCTAAGGTCTACATTATAGGGGGTTATAACTGGCACCTGAATAATGTCACAAGCATCGTTCAAGTCTACAACACGGAGACGGATGAGTGGGAAAGGGATCTGCACTTTCCAGAATCATTTGCTGGCATTGCGAGTACGCCGATTATACTTCCTCAGAACACCACACAACGCTGAGATCCTGACCTGCAACTGTGAAGACTATTGTTCTGTGTGCCCTCCTACTGCCCAATGGATTGAATGAAGGTGTGAACATGTTTGAAAAATATGGATGAAGGTTTGTCTTTTTAGCTTTTTTTAGTCTTCAGTTGACATAAACTTGTTAACTTTTTAAATATAGTATATTTAAGAAACTTTCTTTCAGCTTTAGGAATTATAGCTATGACTGCTGATGATCAGGTTTCATTGAAGAGGCAAGGTTTTAGAGAAGCTAATAATCAGAGTAAATGCAGGTCTGAAAATGTATTAATCCAATCATAATTATTGCAGAATTCCTGCAGAAAAGGCTAGAATGTGATTACCTTGGTCTAGTTAACCATGGAAAAGATAATAAAATCTTTCCAGCCTTTATTTTTTTATTCCTTTGTCAAAATGTTTTGTTTTCCCTCTGTTCTTTGTTTCTTCTTTGTGTCCTCCCATCTTTCCTTCTGTCCACATTTCCCTCGTTTCTCTTTTCCTCCCTCTCTTATGTCAATTTCTTTTTTGTGTGCTTCTTTGCCTTCTTTGTTCCTTGTTTACTTACACCCTCAAGTCACTCCTTTTTTCTTCTCTTCCTTGCACCCTTACTTCTTTGTCCTGTGTCCTTTCTTCTTTTCCTTTTTTAGTTCTACCTCTCTACATTATAATTTTCCTCCTTTCCTTTCTCGTGTCCTACATTTGTTCATTACGTGTGTGCTTCCTTCCATGCTTCTTTCCCTCCTTGTCTCTTCCCATTCTGCATTCATTCCTTCATTCCTTGTATTCTTTCTTTTGTACTTTAAGTCATTCATTATTCCCTCTCTTTCTTCTTTCCTCCATTTTCATTTTTTGTGTTTTTTATTCCTTATCTCTTTTTTTCCTTCCTTTCATTTGTTATTCACCCTCCCTTTGTTTTGTTCATTCCTTTTATTGTGTCTTTTCTGTTCTGACATTTCATTCCTTATGTGCTATCTTTAGTTCTTTCTTATATCCTATTTCTTTATAAAATATGTGAATCCTGCTATAAATTGATGATGAATGTTTGAATTTCATATTTTAAAATGGTGATAAGACTAAGTCTGAAATCTTTATACATGCAGGAACACTGTTTTTAAATGCTTGGCAATTTAAAAAGTGTATTATCATAGCCCAGTTCACTGGTGTAGCATTAGCTAAATTGTAGTAGATTTTCAGAGAAAAATATTACTTTAATTTGTAAAACTAATGAAGGGCTTACATTACAAAAGGCACATCAGATATGACATTCCTTAGAAAATCAGCATTTAAAATGTTGGACAATTTGATTGTACAGAAGTTTTATTTGCTATGCTGTTTAATTTTTGAAACAATTTACCTTTAAGTCAGTTACTGTAGATATATCCTAATCAACAAGCTACATATCAGCACATAAATGCTGGCACAAAAACAAGAATAGGATGATTTACAGTTTAAAATGTGTTCCACATGATTTTACTCTTTATGTGAATGTCTTTCTGATTTCTGATATGTTTAATGGAACTGAAACTGTTTCGGATGTTTCTTTTTCTCACCTAAAATCACACACAACTGCAGACCTCTTGCGGCAGCTACATGAATAATTTATTTGTGTCTTAATACAATGTTTTGCATTGTTTTTTTTCTCTTTCCTTGAAGCTTGTTCACTTAATCTTTGCCATTTTAATTTTTCTGCATCCTTAGCTCTTTTAAAGCTATATTATGAGATATTGTGTTTGTACATGACCTATATATTTGTTTTTACTTTAAGAAGCAAACCTTTTGTTTTTTCCCCTTTTGAACTTGACCACCTCCATGATAGTGAGGAGGGTTTTTTCTTTTTTTTTGTGGAAAAATGTCAGCTGTCTGCTTGCCTAGGCGTGTCTTGTTCTGCCTGTACCAATCAAAGCACATTATATTGTCAAAGTGCAATACAGTGAAAACTGATGTACTCCAGGGGGAATGTACAAGTTTGTGTAGCTTCATGTCAATCCTTTATTAAAGTCAATAGTGTTTTAAAAATGTACACCTTTTGTGTCTATATTGGCTTTATAAATATGTTCTGACACTTCTGTACCTCAGGTTTAGAGAGAAACCAATCTGATTTTTTTGAATATAGGGTAAACATTCTTTTTCATCATGTTTTCTTTTAGTTGTCTAGAACTTAATTTACAATTTTTTGTGAAATGTGACAATAACACATTTGCAGTGCTTTGCAAAGAAATTACATTACTTTCTTTTCATATCATACTTACTTACAACCACAAGCTTGAGTGTATTTAATTGTGATTTTATGTGGTAGACCAACACAAATAAAATGATTTTCACTTTTTTCAGGGTGATTTGAAGTTATACATTTCCACTAAGCTGCCATTTTTCCTATAAAGTCTGTGGCAAACTGAAAATGGGGCTTTTATATGTCTTTTGACAGTGACTTTCTTCATACCACTGTTCTATGCAAGCTAGACTTGTAGTGACACCAACAATTATCATGACAATAAACTATCTCAACTTAGCTGTTATCCCGGACCAATCTACTATGTTCCATCATATTAATGGTGCTGTTTGTTCACTAATGTAATGGAAAACCCCTTACCCCCACTAATAAACCTCTGAAGCCTTCACACAGCAGCTGGATTACACTGAGATTGGATTACAACTAATTAGATTACTTCTAATTTCAGTTTGCTGCGTTAGATTTTACTTAGGGCTATCAAAATAAGTGACAATAGATTTTCATGTCAGATTCTAAAATGTAAATTTTGTGTAATTTTCCTTCATCAGTGATTTGCTTCTTTATATGAGTATGATATAAAAATTTTAATTAGCCAAAATCACACTTTGCTTTAGTAACGTGACAAATGTCACAAAATTTATCACAAATGTATTATATTTCAGTCAGTTTGCCCCTTGTCACTTTTTCTGTGACCAGGTGCAGATTTTATTGTCTTTCCGTGCATATCCATGTTTATTTTCCCCCCTTTATGTTACTATTAATAACGAACATCTAGGGCACACAATTCCCCCTGTGGTGAGTCTTATTTTATCTCAAACTCGGCCTGCCTCTCAGATTCCGCAGGCAGCTGAAGCAGAGAGGGGTAACATCAATAGAGGCGTTCGGCCGTGCGTCGTGACGACAGTACGAGGGCCTGGCGTCGTGCGTAGCGTAACATTCCATTGAGAAGAAGAGGGAAAGATGGCGTCCTCTAACAATCCGCGCAAATTTAGCGAAAAAATCGCTTTGCATAATCAAAAGCAGGCGGAGGAGACTGCCGCTTTTGAAGAAGTGATGAAGGACTTGAACATCACCAGAGCCGCTCGGGTAAGACCCCCACCCCCTCACAGGCTGGTCCCAGTTTGTTGCATCGCTGTTTTTGGCAGTTAACGAACACTGCGGTGATATGTTTGAGCGACTGCTCTCTATTTGGGTAAGGTCCATGTTTTCTTTCTTAGCTGTATCGGTATATCATAATCACAACACACTCCCATGTCTGTTGACGGGCGCTACATTTTTTTTATTTTGTCGATAAAACATGCGTGGTTTAGTGCACCGTTAATTGGCTCCGCTAGCAGTTTGAGTTTAACGTGCACCTGTTCCCTATGTATGATTTCAACGGTAAGTGCACGCGTTTCGGCTGCTTCCAGGCGCACACATCACCGCATAATAACATGTTGAGGCTGTTGGCAGGTAAATTAAAGCGGAGCAAATGCGAGTGGGATCTCCGACAGGTTTAAGGCAGCCTTAACTGGCCAATCGGACTCACTGGACGTGGATTCCCTCCCGCCCCCACGTCAACTGTTTCCACCGTGGCACGTTTTAATTCAAACAAAAACACAATTTAAAACGGAAGCTTAGTTAATGTTTTACATGTTTCATCCAGCCACACCCCTGGACTGCACTAGTTTATACAGATTTGTTGAAAGTCAGCAAATGGATCACAATGAAATGATTTATCAACTCTCTAATGATAATATAATAAATAATCCTGCTCTTCAGGGCCCACTGTCCTGAATGTTTTAGGTGTTTCACCACTGCCACACACCTGGCTCAAATGAATGGGCGATTAACTGGCTTCTGCAGCGCTTAATAGCATGTTGAGGAGGTAATCTAATCATTGGAATCAGGTGTGCTGGAACAGAGAGACATCTAAAACATGAAGGACAGTGGGCCCGGAGGAGCAGGATTGAGAAACATTGGATTATGTCTCACAATTATGTTGGGCCCATGGAGCGTGCGTGCGTGCGTGCGTGTGTGTGTGTGTGGTGGAAAGACCCTCACAACGATAAAAAGAAAAAAAAAAAAAACTAAAATAAGGGAGAGCTATGGTGCAACGACTATATAACTTGCTTACATCAGATTTTGAAAAGAAAGAGAAAGAAATCCATATATTTGTTACAACTCATTATCAGGTTTGTTTTTTTTTCTTTCCTGAAGGCTTGATGCAAGTTGCTTTTAACTTTATTGCATGTCTGGTGTTGTAATAGAATGTCTGCAAGTGCAGATTGTTTTTCCATAAAAAATTTTTTTCTTGTTTTCATTATGCTCATTTTGAGCATACGTGTCTTATGAATTACCTGATGCATACATAATTGTCTATCTGCAAAGGTCAGAAACTTTTCTTTGATGCATAAAGGAAATCTAAGCTCTTCATTTTCTGTTTGATTGAAAACTATTCCCACCATTTTTTGTGTTTGTTTTAAACATTATAGCTCTTCCTCATGCTTAATTGTTGATCTAGATTAAAGGTTACCCAACTGAGTTTGTGCGAATCGGCCTTGGGTAAACACAGATGTTGTGCTGTAAAACTCAAAAACAAAAGTTACATTATTTGGTAAATCCATAAAACTATAAATTTACTCCCTGTTGTGAGAACGATATGCAAGCATCATGCACTCAGGATAAAATTGCATCAGTTGTGCAATTAAAAACAGAGGAGGGAGTTACTTGTTGATGTTTCATATTTGCAATGTGCATTCCATAGCTATTTCTCCCCTTTTAGGAGCTAACTGAAAATGTCAGAGCTTTTGTGAATTTGACAGATTAAGCAAAAATTCTGGACCTTTTTTTTTTTTTTTTTACAGGCTTCAAAATGTATCTTTTCCTGCTCTTGCTCTGCAATGTGGGTAAAAAATGTGATTGCTTGTCAGTTGTGAGATAAAAAAAATTGTGTAAGTTTCTACTAATGAGACTTGAGCAAAATGTGACTTAATTTTTCTTCAAAGAGTAGTGCGCCTTCAAATTATTTTTAATTTCTAATAATGTTTAAAAGGCTGCCATACTATACTATATTATATAATGTAGTATAACTGTATACAAGAAATGCTACCTATTTATTAATGAGCAGCTTACAACCAGGGTATTCAGTCAGATTTCCAACAATTTAAGTTCACATTTAGTAGGTCACAAGGATCGGTTGAGACCAACAGTTAACTTCACATGAGTTAGTGGGGGTCAATGCTGAATGCAAGGACATGGACTAGTAAGGACTGCTAGCCTATAACTTTTTAAACCTTTAGCGTTTTGTGGCAAACCTTCACATTTTGCTACATTTTAAATGTGAGGACTGTTTTGTTTCAGATTGTTCTGTTTGGATTGGAATAATTTTTTTTTCAAGACTTCTTCTTTGACTTAAAAGATATCTTCAGAAATGTAAATAATTCTTTCTTGAACAGAAAGGCAGTATAAATCAGATGGAGTTTGTTCACTGCCACTCCCTTCCTCTGGAATGAAGCTCTTCAAAATAAGGATTATCTATCAAAATAAAAAAAAGTTTACTGTCCCTTTAATCGAAAGAGGGAGGCAGGGGCCATGGCAGTAAGTGTTGAGGACATCCAGCATGAGCAGCAGCCAGTTAGTTTTTCTCTGCCCCAAGCCCCAAATGATGAGGGTTAATCATCCAGGAAGCTCCACCAGCATATATTGGATGAATCAATTGACTCATTTCTTCAAGCTGCACTGACATCAGGAAGTGTTTGGGATATTTTTTTTTCTTCTGTTTGCTGGAAATTAAGCACACTTTATTACTATGATGCGTGTGTCTAACCTTAAGCCATACTGATATTTCCTAGGAGAGAAACACTCTTCAGTTGTATAGTCTCTGCCTGATTCCCTTGTGTTGCCATTTAGATTTTCTGTCACTGCATTATGTCTGATCATCTGACTCAATTCTTCTGGGTGTACAGGATGTCAGTGTTTTGTTTTTGTTATAGCATACATTACTTTTTATTACTGTTATATGCAAGTAGTAAATACCCAACTGTGACAACTCAAGCTGTCAGTCCAGTGTCATTCGAATCAGCTAGTTTTGTTTGCTTGTCAGTTGTCCATGAAAAAGCCACATTTGCCTGTTTCATCTTGTTACATTTTTTCAGTTCATAAAAGCCCCACTCATTAATCTTGCATATAATCATTGTAGACTTGCACGCATTGCCCATTTTTAGCATCTCTTTTGTTTGTGAATCAGATCAGTCATTCACTCATGCTTTCATGCAATTTTACTTTGCACAGTTGCAGTTACAGAAGACCCAGTATTTGCAACTAGGGCAGAATCGTGGACAGTACTATGGAGGCTCACTGCCCAATGTCAATCAGATTGGGAATGGCAACATTGACCTGCCTTTTCAGGTGAGCCCCTAGCCTCTCTCAGCAATGGTTTTGTTCTGGATCAGTGTACCTTTGTCAGCTGTTGGTGAATGTTGGACACACACAGGTTTCAGCTGTTTTTCAGATTTGTTGAAAAATACTTTATGTACAGACTATCCATTTTTAAAGAGGAGTAAAAGAGTCTGCTGGCTTTTCTCTGGCTGCGACAGCTGTAAGACTATTTATTGGCTGGTTAGAGCTGCATCTTCCACCAGGTTTCATCATACCTCAAAAGTTAAAGAAGAGCTTGTCTTAAAGTTTTTTTTTCTTCCCCATAATTGAGAATTGGTTCCTAAATTTTAAAGTATACCATTGCTTGTCATGGCTTTTCATCTTTAATTACATTTGCCAACTTGGCTTGACCCATCTTAAAGTGAACATGTTTAGCACCATTTATTCCAATGCAAAGATTTGCTCTGTTTGAAAGGACTCCTCTCATCTCATTTACCTGGTGTGTCCACCTTAGAACTCTGTGCTGGACACCAGTCGGACAAGCAGGCACCATGGACTCGTGGACCGTGTTTACCGCGATCGTAACCGCATCACGTCTCCTCACCGTCGCCCACTTTCAGTGGACAAACACGGTCGCCAAATATCCTTTATATTGCACTGTCACATGTGCCAATCAGACTTGGAAGTTACTTTGTCTCACCTTCCTAATCTGTTTTATTCATCCATGATTTGGAATATCAGTCAAATGCAATGTCCTTTTTTCACATGAAACCACATTTTACATTTCATATGGTAATTAAGGTCTCAGAGTCCGAAGGATTGTGGTCATCTGAAAGTTCCTTTAGATGATTGGCTTTGAAACTGACCCACCAATATTTTGACTCTTATCCACCTCTGGAAGTAGCAGTTACTATGTTGGTTTGGATAGAATGAGATTGTGTAACTAGTGAGACAGAGGTACAAAGCAAAGATGGCAACATGTGTTCATGATGGAGACATTGTATCATCTTCCCTTCCATCTGATCTGAAAAATATAAGCAGAATTTGATTGTGATTAAAAAATTGTGATTGGGATTGGGAATTGCATCAAAGAGCACAGCTCTGGAGAAATCCTCCAAATGCTACTGAAAGCTGTAAGACACACCCATTTGATTTTGTAATTGAGTGTATGTACAATTCAGTAACATTTCTGTGTTAAAAGTCTGTTTTTCTTTTATGTTTTCCTGTTTATGTTGATTTGAAGATCAATGAATTAATGATTTATTTTTTGTACATCCACTGATGACCGTCTGCTGAGTTACACATGTTAGTATGTTGCACTTTAGCAGAGTTATTCTGACGAATGTTTTCCATTTTTAGTTTAGAGATTTGATCTCCCTGTAGGATTTGTCCAGGATTATTTATTCATAATGTTTTAGGCACAAAGGGATGAACTAAAGCCTGTATCTGATTGATTCTTCTATTTTTCCTCATAATTATTAGCCTTGACTAGATTTACATTGACAGCTGTCCCTACAGTTCAGTTTACCTCTCCCCACCGCCAGACACAAGCTGGAGAAGGTAAGTTTCTTCGCTTGTCCGTTTGCACGAGGTTGGAACTACCCAGTCAGAAACAGTTATTTTTATGCCTTTAATTAGAGTAGAAATTACTCACAAGGATGGACCACCGATTGGGCAACCTGGTGGCAAATAAAGTTCAGTAACGAGGGCTGTAACCCCTGATGGGTATGGTGCTGAACAGTTGGCCCTCTTCCAGTGTTGGGATTCTGCTGACATCTCATCTTTCTGTCACATACAGGACGAATTCGGATTCGGCCTTACACCAGAGCGCCATGAACCCGAAGCCCCAGGAGGTGTTTTCAGGAGGATCGCAGGAGCTGCAGCCTAAACGAGGTGAGGGAGGATCCAGTGATAAAGACACAGAGAATCTTTCATTTATTCATGAGCAACGTGCTAATCCAAGCTGCAAACCTCTGAAGACACAAAAGAGATGGTGTCAGAGAGAGGCAGATGTAGACGCGTGGTAAAATATTTAAGGTGCAAATGGAAGCTGATCTACTGAGAAGTGTTTCTGTTTGACTTTGTACTCTGCTGGCTGTAGAAGTTTCTGAATGAAGCTGATTCAGGGCAACCTACAGAGCAAAATCAATCATTAACTGACTCCTTATCGATCATGTCTTTTTATGTGTAAAGCTCTGGTACAATGAAGCCAAGATTAGCTGGCCTCCGTTCAGCGTCTGGTGGTCACCTGTGCTATTTTTAGAAATGTGGGAATCTGGTGCACAGCAGTACTATTTTCTGCATGGCGGCTTGGGATATTGATGACTAATTTCTTTCAGTAAGGCTTTGCATTTTTGGATATTGTCTCAACAAAAAAAGTGTTCTGTTTTTCTTTAATAGTGCTGCTGCTTACGGTGCCAGGGACGGAAAATTCAGAGTCGGATGCAGACAAGGATGCACAGAAGCAGCTGTGGGATGACAAGAAGGTACCAGTGGGACAGTGAGGGACTGTAAAGTGAACTCATGTGGTGAATTAATCATGACTCTTTTTTTGTTTTGTTTTGCTTTTTTAGGATGATGCATCTCAGCCTAATACATGTGATGTCCCAGGAATCAAGTGAGTATTACTATTTTGATTTTCCAAACCTCTGCTTCTTTTTTAACTTCCATTGAAGAATGCTTAAGTTTTTCTTATAATGACCATCATCACATAAGTGAAAGAAGATTTCTAATTGGACAATGCTTTGCTAAATGTAATGAAGCTGTAAACCAACCATATAATTAAAGCTTCAATGTAATTTGATGTTTTTCCACATCAGAGAAGTATGTAACTTTTTCTAATGTTCTAGATTTATTTTTCTCCCTTCTAAGTTCTCAGAGAGGCCAACATAGAAATTACCAACTGATTAAGAGTTATAATAATTTGAGGGCTTTGTTTTCATATTGCAGATCTGAAATACTTTATAGAGTCTAAATATCTGTCACATAATTGATTCACTCATCAGCAGTTAGAATTATTATTAAAGCAAGTTATCCAAAAACATTTTTTGATGCCGTTTTTGTGTTTCACGTCACTAACCAAGTGGTTGCCTTTTTCCAGTATATTCCCATCACCAGACCAGGAATTAAGCCCATCTGTGGTCCCAGGTGCTCACAACACTGGTGGTTCGCTGCCGGATCTGACTAACATCCAGTTCCCTCCTCCGCTGTCCACACCACTTGACCCCGAGGACACCGTGTCCTTCCCTTCACTTAGCTCAGCCAACAGCACGGGCAGCCTGACCACCAACCTCACCCACCTGGGCATCAGTGCTGCAAGTCATGGTAAGAGCTCTTACATGTACCAAAATTAGGACGATGGAGGAGGAAGACGAAAAGACATTTTTTACTCCCAATTAAGAAAGTAGGTTGTTTTAGCCAATATCTTGAGGTGCGTTTCCTTAGCCTGTTTTTTTTTATTTTTATTTTTTAATCAAAATAATTTTACTATGTAACAGGAAATTTTTATTTACAATAATGGAAAATTAATCTCTAACCCGAGGCACATTACAACCCAGATGATTTCAGAATAGGTTTTGTTGTGTATCTATCTGTGTGCAGAAAATATTAAACCTAGCTTTGTGTTAGATGCTACTGTTATTACCCTCCTTTGATTTGGTCTTCTCTTTGCCAGTGGGCTGCTGGCTGCCTCTCATTATGTCCTCAAATCTCATCCTCTCAGAGCTGATGAGTATTTTGGTCAGACAGCAGTTACTCACTACATCTTGTTCTGGTCACCAGCTGTTTTATTTTCTGTGAAATTCTCATTTAAAATTAGTTTCCTGCATATTCGATATCCTCTTTGCTTTGGACGGCATCAATGTTCACTTGCTTGTTTTTGACACATAAGTGAATAAACGTGATCTGTGGGGAGCCCAGTCTGTTAATAGAAGTAAAGCTTTAAGCAGCTGTATATTAAACGTTGTCAATTGTCTATGATTTCTTAGCTGATTCTCATGTTTGGATGCTTAGTAATCTGACTTTCCTCTAACCAAACCCAGTGACTTGTGCATGTGTGACTCTTCTGTTGCCAGGGATCACCACGCCCTCTCAGCCTTCCATGACTGTAACGGGCCAGCGCAGGCAGCCACCCGTGGTGCCACTTACTCTCACCTCTGACCTCCACCTCCAGCAGTCCCCACAGCAGCTCTCACCCACGCTCTCCTCACCGGTTAATATTACACAGGTAAATGTCTGGCGTCTGGCTTCACTTGGTTTTTCTTCTTGGTGTTCAAGGTGAAACACCAAGAATGTGTGTGTGCTCTTGTCTTTAGGCTTTGCAAACAGAAACATTAACTTTGGAGCAGCAGCTTTCCCAGTACCCCCTGTTCAACCAGCTGACGCCTCAAGCCCAGGCTCAGCTACTTAGTGACCTCCAGAAACAGCCGGCGCTGCCACAGGGCATCCAGCTCATCGCTCTGCCCACTCTGGCCTCGTCTGGGACAGCCACCGCAAGCAGCCCCTCCCCGGACAGCCAAACCACCGCCAGCATGAGCATCAGCTCGGTAAGAAACACACAATTCAGTTAGGCGAGTGAAGGCAGGGACACAGCTTTCTGGAAATGTTTCCTAATATTGTCATAATTACCACTTTGTTGGTTTTGCTCAATATATTAATCTTTTGAAAACATGACATGATCAAAATGATCATAGCTTGCTGCTATTGTGTAGACAGACAAAATTAACTCCCTGCCAACATTTTCTCACTTCTTATGCGGAGGCTGATGATAAAACTTGTTGTTTTGTCCACTGTACAGTCATAGTGAAAGGCTTTGGCAGTGACACAGATGTTATTCTGTGGTTCCAACAGTTTATGGTCAACTGAAAAAACAACTACAACGCAAGACTTCTAAAAACTTTGATATGAAATATGTGAAATTCATGCAGAGTCGGAATGTGGAGTTTGATGCCTTTTCATAACTTAATTTATTCTGGCTTCCTGGATGTCCTCATCTTGACTCAGAGTTGATCTCAGTTTTTTTGGCTCCTTCTTATCCTGGAGCCAACTTTATAGAATTGACTATAGTTTTTTTTAATTCCAATATGATTTTTTTAACCCCCTCCTTCAGCTATTTTCCCTTGTGCTGGAATATACTCAAAGCACCAAATTGTCCCTGCATTGTTGGACGAAGTAGCTCTTGGAATCTGTTTTTAGCCTAACATTATTTATGGCAGTGTTCCTGTTCAGAGCTGTGAGTAAGCCCTCTTCCTGGGATGATGGACATTTAATCAGAGACGGTACCTTTCAGCAGCCTTCTACTGTCCATCACTAAACCTCCTGCACAACTTAACTCTCTCTCCTTGATATCTTTTTTTTAGACAAGAATATCTTCTTTTATACCCCAAGGTCTCTTTGTGCATGTAGACACACCCTCACTCACTTGCTGTTGATGTTGAACAAGCTCTGCACTGGTAACTTGATTCTGTAGAAGAACTGATCAGGAAAAACTGTCATTGAAACCTCATGAAATTGTTCTGTCCTATTTAACTTCTTACCTTGAAGTTCTCAATGATCCAGAAGATGTTTTGCATGCTTTTCTCCAGGAGTAACACAAGAAAACAATGGTTTCAGTCCCAGTAGTAACACACTTTGATACCATGTTAACATCAAACAAATCACTAGGTAATATAATAATTAAGATGCAACATTTGCAAAGCACAGCATATATGTCACTGCCAAACTTTAACCTGCAACTGTACACATTTTGATCTTATTGCTAAAGATGTGTGTGTTTGTGCCAGACATGAAGCTTAGTGTTAGCTAACCCTCTTCCCTCCAACAGTATCGCAATCAGACTGGCTCACCAGCCACTCAGTCTCCAACCTCCCCAGTCTCCAATCAAGGCTTCTCCCCTGGAGGCTCGCCTCAAGTAAGGGCCCACCCTCCGAGCTCGCTGCTGCCTGGGGAAGGGCTTTGCTTCTGGGGGAAAGCTAACTGTTCATAGCCAGGCTGCTTTTCATTCTGTGTGTTTGCACCACTCATGGTGTCAGCAGCTGCACAACTCATCTCCTCATCTCCACTGTCACAGCTGACCGTGTGCATGACAACATATTGGTTTTCTCAGTGTGCACCACACTGGGATGCTCCTTGTATAGTAAAATATTTTTCTGGAGAAAGTGCTATATATTTTTTAACAACTCAGTTTATGAATTTTAAATCCTATTTTCTGTGAGACATTTTTCCATTTTTTTATAATACAATTGTGGATAAATTAATTATGGTTAAATCAGTGAATGTTCAGGTCAAAATTTCTCAGATTCTAATCATTCATGGACTGTGCTCTCTTTGGCTAAGATGATGCTTAAGCAGGGACTCTACCACATACGAAATCCAATCCCACATTATTGATGATGTGCTCTATGAGGCGTATGTTTTTTAAGATTATTTAAGGGAAGTTTCAACTCTTCTCTACTTCTGTAAATCCAGTTTGACCTCTCTGTCATGCTGGATTTTACCTTTTCACCTCTTCTTTTTTTTGTGTTTTTGATGTTTTTTATCTTCCTAAATTGCCAGGGTTTTTATTGTCTTGGTGTTTATTATACAGTTGTAGGCTCACCACCAAGTCCTCTCCTTAATAAACTGAATTGTGATTCTTTTTTAACGGGGCTGCAGCAGCCAACATTCACTCTTTCATAGGCTTGTGTTAACCGTGGTTATGAGAACGACTTGCTTATATTTCCTGCTCTGCTGGACAGCTGTGTGATGTGTTGTCTTGCTTGGTTTTCCTTGTTACTCCATCACTAAAATATGGCCTTAGTCAGTTGGATGGCTTTTTTGTGTTAGAGGAACTTGCAATCTATTTTATTATTTTAACTTATATTTCCTTTCCCCTGCAGCACATTCCTGTGGTGGGCAGTATATTTGGCGACTCCTTCTATGATCAGCAGCTGGCATCGAGGCAGACCAATGCGCTCTCTCACCAGGTAACCAAGACTACCAGTAACTGAGGACAGAACGTTGTCCTGACTCTGCTCTGCCTGACAAATCTGTTCTTTTCAGCTCGAGCAGTTCAACATGATTGAAAGTCCCATCAGCTCGTCCAGCCTTTTCAGCCAGTGCTCCACCCTCAACTACACGCAGGCGGCCATGATGGGCCTCACCGGCAGCAGCTTACAGGACTCGCAGCAACTCAACTACAGTAACCATGGCAACATCCCCAACATCATTCTAACAGGTAGCAGCACCACCACCCATTCATACATTGTCCTTCACATGTCCTTCACATCTTTTCCAGGCAAAAAGATGGGAGTGCAGCTGAGACCAGATATTTAAATATACTATAAAATTCAACCCATAACTGTTTCTCACCCCTTATCCATTATTAAATCCGACCAAGGTCTGCCTGTTTGAGGTCAGTTAGGATTACTAAAACTATTTATATTTGCTACATACCAGAGCTGGAGATTTTTTAAAGCTCTAAATTCTTTTGATATCCTTCTACAAGCTTCTCGCAACAGTTTGCACGAATTTTGGTCCATTCGTCTTGACAGAACTCTTGTATCTGAATCAGGTTTGAGCCCAAACATACTTTTTCAACTCTTCTTTAAACATTTTCTTTGTGATATCGGTCAGGGCTTTGTGATGGCCCCTCCAAAATACTGAACTTGTTTCACTTGTGCAAATTTGGTGATAGGCTTAAGTTCCCCCACAAACGTGGGCACACTTTACAACGCAGAGCACACGTCTACCATACACATCTGCTCAAAGGTTTATTTTCACGCCCATGTGCTCTTTGTTGCACAGTAAACTGTTTGGGAGGAAACGGGAGTTCACACTGAACTGTTTTGTATGTTATGTCAAGCTGATAAGATTGAGAGTCAATGCAACCAGTTGCAAGGACGCGCATCAGACAGACTCCCGCTTTGTGCCACCAACAGGTATGTGGTGGTTGCTTTTTATTGAGAAGAAACATGGCTAGGTGCCCAACTAGCTAGCGTGGTGAGTGGTGCTGGAAAGATTTAAAGACTTAACTTGAAAATTATTGGAAAGTGCTTGAATTCTACTTGGGAGAATTCAAGATTTTCGGATTGGGGGAAATAAAGGAGTCTGTTATGAGAAATATAGGCAATCGGTACGCCTGACTAATAAATCTCAACCGTCTGCAGACGGTGTGCGTAGAGTCCGCTCATAGAAGATGCTGAACGCCCAAGTATGTGGGGGCCTTCAGGGTTATTGATCAATTGGAAGACCCATTTATGTTGAGATGTTTGAATATTTGAATAAGTCGTGATGCCATCTGATCATGATGCCATCTGATCATGATGCCATCTGTTTTGTAAAATGTATCCGTCCCATTGGTAGCTAAATGACTGCTTTGTGTTGAAGCTGTCTGCGTTTCTCTGCTGTCACCTTTCTTAGTCACAGGTGAGTCTCCGCCCAGCCTCTCTAAAGAGCTGACCAACTCTCTGGCGGGTGTTGGTGATGTCAGCTTCGATGCCGACTCCCAGTTCCCCCTGGATGAGCTGAAGATAGATCCACTCACACTGGACGGACTGCACATGCTCAATGACCCCGACATGGTGCTCGCTGACCCCGCCACGGAGGACACATTCAGGATGGACAGGCTGTAGCGAGGCTGTGCTGGAGCAAAGAGGGAAAAACAAAAACACTAACGTGAGTGAAGAGAAACAAAGGGCAGGATGAACCCTCTCCCTCGTTGCATGGCCGTCCAGCTGTATGACTCTTTGAAAGATGCGCCACCAAAAAACACAACGGGGAAAAAGTCGTCCATTGGCTTGCAACGGGAATGGCCTCGCTGTTGTTTTGATAAAGATTGGTCGCTCGGCGCTTTCGCTAGCCTACTCTTGTTTACAGTGCTCCATTACATGCCACATATATTTAAAAAAAAATGCACATTATAGCCATTTTCTTTTCATATCCACATTCATTTTAATCTTTTTTGCTTGTAGCAGGAAGCTGCTAATTTATTGGGTAAAATAATTGTTTTGGCTATGTATAAAAGAGGAGGAAAATAAACAGCATAGCTGGTTTACTCACCACCCTTCAATGAAACAAGTTCTCCTACCATAGCATGATGACTTTCTTTTTGACACTCAAAGCTTTATTTTTGACAACCAAATGTTATTTTCATCTTGTATATGTTTTTATGCTTTGTGTATTTATGTTTTATTTATTTATTTATTTGGTCAAAGGGTTGATATTTTATAACTTAAATTTGATGCCAAAATGTCTGTAGGTGGAGTGTAAAATTTCACTGATGTAATTAATTACAAACACATAAATGTTTTTTTTTTTTTTTTTAATTATTATTTTAAGCTTTTACTTGGGAAACGAAGGAGTGCAAAACCTCCCCATAGTTGCTCTTTTGGTGTTAGTTGTGCCATTATTTAATATTGTGCTGAAGTCCAACAAGCAAATCTAGAAATCAGTTCTAAGCACCACTTCAGGTGGACTTTACTGGGATTACCACTCATCAGGAAATTCAATTTAACCAAAACTAAAGAAAAGTGCATCAGAATTCATTCTCAGCAAGAAAAAAACCATTATATACACTATATTGCCAAAAGTATTCACTTAGCATCCAAGCAATTTATTTCAGCTGTTCTAATCACTTCTGGGGCCAGAAGTGCATACAATCCCGGATTTAGGCATACAGAACACTTCTAGAGACGTTGGGGGAATATCCAATGTGTTATTCTCAGGAGCTAGGTGAGAGTTGTGGTGTTATAGAAAATCACCTGAACAGTATGTCCAGTTGTGACATTTGCTGACCACTAAATATTCCTCTCAACTTGTGGCAGTGTTACAAAAGTTGAAGTAACTCAGCCAGAAGTGGTAGGTCAAATAAAAGGTGCACTGCATTCAGAAATCACCAACTTGAAATCCTTAAGATTAGCTCAGTGCATAGCGCACTTCATGAAAAAGGTTTTGATGGCTGAGCAGCTACATCCTTCCCATAAGTCATCAAGTGTAACATACAGAATCAGAAGTGTAGCTGTCTGAGTCTGGTAGTTTGTGTCAGATGTAAAGTTTGGTGAAGAGTTCACATTCTTAGTTCCAGTGAAAGAGCTTGAAACGCTTCAGGATACCTAGCAAGACTGTAAAAATGTAGATTAGAGAGTTTGGATGAAGTAGAGTGGCGATCATGTGCCGAGCCTTATGTCACGTTCCTTTTACCTTGAAAGTCTGAACTTGAAGCTGTGTTTTACCTCACACCCAAAGTGGGAGTGTTCCAGTTAACATAGTGTGAGAAGTCTTGTGATTGCCCAAGTAGATCTTGCTTGCAGTACCTCTTGCGATCTTTATTTTAAGAATTACATTCCATAAGCAAACACCACTCTTAATTTTAGTTTATAGTTGCGGGCACTACATGCAACATTGATTTTAGACACACTCTTTCAAGTTTGTCTTGTAAAATAAAATGTCTCCACCACAGCTTACTACTGTTGATAGCAGCCATATTGAAACTGGAAGTCAACTTTACAAATCGCATTGAGTGGGAATGTGTCTTCAGGGGGCACTGACGTTGATTTTTCAGACTGGGAAGTCAGAATTTCCGAGTTCTGACTGCAAATGGAACACTCCATTATCGTCCAGCAACAGTGTCTGGTCTCACAAATAGACTTTTGAAAGATTCACACGAAGATACTCCTAAACCTTGTGGAAATCCTTCCCCTAAGAAACGCAGCCGGTAGAGCTGCAAAAGGCAGGCTGACAAAATAAACCCGGTGAATTAACTATGGGATGTCACGCAAGGTCATATATGTATTGAGAGCCAAACAAGGAAATACTGATGGCAATGTAGTTTATAATTAAGCTGAGAAGTTCACTTGAAAAGTAACACATTTGTTTTTAAACCAGAGAACATTCAAATCTGAATATTTTTCAGTCACTGTGAAATCACCTGATTTTGCCTTACACAGTGTTTTATGTGACGACGTATTTTCCTAACTGAATATTTGACCTTTTCTTGTATTTGAGACAAACTTTGGTCAGTCAGTAATCTCTGTGGTTATGTAAAGTGTAAACAAATCGATGTACTGTATTTTGTAGCTGTACACTTGATGACCAAATTGTCTTTTTGTTTTTTTACGTGGGACAAAAAGAAAACGGGAAAAACAAATGTCCAAGAAATGATGTAAAGAGTTCAATTATGGGGAGGCTTTATGCTCCTTTACAGGGGGTCTCTAACAAAAACGCAACTGAAGTTAGATACAGAGAGAGGAATCCGAAGTCAAGTGAAGTGTTTTAAGAGATTTCTCTTGAAGAATGTTTATATCCTCTGATTAGATGAGGTGCACAAAAGCTAGCTAAAGATCTCTTTAAGACGAACTCTTAAGTGTAATTATGTAAAATGTGCAATGTTTCAAAAACTCAAATCTGCCTTGTTCGTTCAGTCTCGGAAGCAGCAGAAATGGCTTCAAAAAACAAACACTTCACAAATCTTTCAAGCCAAACCGTTCACATTGTCATCTGCAATGAGTTCTGATCTTTGTTGCCAAAATGTTTCCAGTTGCACGGCTGATGTTGACAACACTACCTTCGCATTCATTGCCAACTGGTCCGCCTCAGCCTTTTTGTCAGAGTTTCCCTGAAAGGCTTCTGTAGATTTTTGGGATCATTTTTGGCGAACTTTAATGTTCAGGTGTATATGTATTGAAATTTTTACGGACTGTCTAAACACACCCAGGATGGGAATTACACCTGGGTGGGTTTAAAGCGTTCATTGTGTGCAGTAGACAGCTCCATCAGCAGCTTTGTTTGCCTTCAACACACCCTGACTCCTATGCAAATGAGATGACAAAAAAATCTATGGAACTTAAAGGAAAAATCCAACTTTTTCCATATGCTCAGCTGGATTTATTCTTCTGAAGCAGAATATTGGAGGTGTTTTTACTTAAACATGCATGAAACTCCTCTGAAAGCTTTGACAGACATGGTCATTGTGAGCTGCTTTTTGTAAAAAAAATAAAAAATAAAATAAAAAATTATAGAGGCTTTCACTGAAAACTTTATTTGGCCCAATTTCAGCCAAAAATCGATTGGTTGTACTTTGTAAAGTATGGCAAAAAAGCTAGTTTTGATGTTTGAGTGCAGAACGGGAATGTTTTGGTGGCGGTATGACAATCAAAGACCAAAATTGTGTTTTGAAATGTTGGCATAAGAAAAAAGTCTCTACGCTGAAGCATAAATCCAGCTTTAAATTAATGCTTGATGTTGCCTTCTTCTTTTTCGAAATGCTTATATTTTGTGGACAGTACGGTTGCTCAGTTATGAAAAAAATCATGATTATAACAATTATTTGAGTTTGATCACATTTTTTGTGCAAGCTTTGGCTTAAAGGTTTTATACATTTTTCTGAATTTTGCATACTAGCTAATCATTTTTTCCACCCAAGACATGTCTAATCAAATGATTGATATATATCATTGGGATATATATATATCCAAATCAGAAATGTATTTAAATTTTAGTGAACAGCAGCTAAACCTGACTATTCACTAACGGACAGGTGGCTGCAGCGACAAATACTGTCTATATCATGTTCTTGGATTGCTAACATTGTTGCAGAGGTTTAAAAACCTTGTACTTCCATGATGTTTCAGTTTTACAATGGATTTTTTTTTTTTCAGAAATCAGGAACAATATATGAAAGTAAAATAAAAAATCTTTTGTGTGATAGTTTGAAGCCAAAATTGAATTACTAATTTGATTAATTGTACATCCTCACTGGGCAGAGCACTTTTCTCTGCTCAGTAAGCTGATATCCCAGTTTAGCTGCCAGCTGTTATTTAAGATTAAACATAACCTACAAAAAGACTTGGTTACCTGAAAACGACTCCATAACCAATGTTGGATTTTTTCTTTAAGCCTAGACATTTTGTGCAGATGTTCCGTTTCCAAAGGTTTGCGTACATAAGACTTCGCTGTTGTGATGCCAGTGATTGGAGCTTCACCCCAGTCCCTCATCCTGCCGCAGTCATTCAAATGGACTTTGTACATAAAGCTGCAACAAAATGCATGACTAAACGGACAGTCCAGACCTCTAAACGAAGGCCTTCTATAGCTCTGCAGGTTTGATTTGTGTAACATTATGCTAACACAAACCGTCTAAAGGGATGCATGTTATGAGTTTCTTCCTGTGCAACAGTAAACTCCTGTTAAGTGACTCTGTTACCTCCATTTCTGTACAATGCTACTTCACGAATGATACAAGAATGTAACTTCTGTGGCAGTATTGTGGTTTTAGCCCGATGAGTTGATGTTTGGAGTGTTTGGTTCTGTCCCAGCAGGTCAAGGCTCCCCTCCCCCCCATAAAGAAACTGACTGTTGCTTGTCCCGCTCTCTCTTCACACTGTAGCATCTCTCTGCAGTCGATTGTGAAAGACCCTTTTTCAAACAAATAGGAGATGCCGCCCTGTAAATGTTCCAGATTGGCACGCGCTCTGATTGTTTGCATTTGTGGACCTCTGAAGCATCTACATTATGCAGTCAGCTGCATGACATGATTGACACATTTAGCAGGTTCTTATCCCATGCTATGTACTGGATCTTAATCTTGCTATGCTAAAGTGGAGCGTGTTTTAAGACATGTTTATTTGTTTTCTGATGTTGCCTACCATGTTTGGTTCTGGGCTGGATAAAGTGAACTGTTTCTGTTACTGTGCAATGTTTTAGTCCACTAGTTGCTTCGCACTTTAACTGTGACTCCCTGACGTTTGTGCTGGGACTGTTCGGCCCGATGTGAATGCTGACTGTTTCATAGCAGAGATATTTTAATGTAAAACAAAAAGATGGACTCTCTATTTTCTTTTGGGAACTACACTTTGGCTTGTCGTGTTTGTTTGTTTTTCTTGTTTTTTTGTTGTTGTTTTTTTTCTTCTGTTTTTATTTGAAGCTGTTAAAACTTTTAGAAGATGCAAAATCAGAAAGGGCTTATTCCGGTGCAGCTTACACTCTAATGTTGGAACTGAACGAAGGATGTTGCTTTTATGTTCCCGTGCTTCTATGTTCCCCAGTTTTAAGAATTAAATCTGATATGTGCAAAAATACGTGTTGAGAAACATGCTTTAAATTCAAAATTGTACAGAACTGGAAGGAGACCTGAAATTGATCGCCATCTTTTCATTCTGAAAAGCCTGATTTTTATTATGTATACATGATTAGGATTAAACTTCCAGGGATTGTCTTCCCTTCAAACATATGATGATGCAAAAGCCAACCAAACCTAAAGCTGCGAAATGACGAGGGGTGCTAAAAGTTTGACTTTTTTCACCAGGCATGTTTGGATTTTGAATATTTGTACACTTTTAAGATAAAATTCTGCATTTTAATTCTCTCATTGCATCTGCCTGAGGTCCATCTATTTAGCTGGGGAACATGGAACAATGGAAGCATAAATGTGATCTATTGTACCTCAGTTTTTATGTTTCAATGCTTCAAAAAAGAAAACAAACAACAACCTTGGAGTAAATTTGAGCGTTCCAGCTCTTACTTGGACTTTCCCTTGCTTCCTTATTTACTTGTAATCTAAAAATCATTACACTCAAACAGCTTGTATTTGCATCTACGCAAACTGTTACTAAGTGTACTATATGCTGTTGCGATGCTTCACCGAAGTAGCTTGGACTGTAAAGCAATGGTTCAGTTTGTCTCGCATCTGGACATATGAAACATTACAGGGCGGGTAGGTTCATACAGGAGACACTAGTGTGGCATTAGTTATCAGCAAATGCAACACTAGGACTTGATGTCAGATTTGGCAGCTTGTTAACTTTATATTTAAGAGGTACAAAAAGTCTCTTAGAGTAAAAGCATGATTAGAATTGAAATGAAAGCTTTTACCTGACTTGCTTTTGTTTTTTTTGTTCTTTTTTTACATCTACACATCTTAAATTTTACTTTAGACTCCTTGTTTTACTCTGAGACAAACTCGCATTACGCTGCAGCACAACCATCAGGTTGTGTGTATAGAGCATTGGAGATGGATTATGTATTTTGTCTGTAAAAGAGAAAATGTGTCCAAGATTTGCTGCTCAGTCAGAAAATGATGTCCCTTTAATAACCAGGGGTTACTTTTCATTGAAATCTATATGACAGGCTCTAGAAATACAGTTTTATGTTCCACTTTAAGCTTATCGTGAGAATAGCATTATATCACTGTTGTCCTGTAAGTTGTAGTGAGACCTGTAGGTATTTATTTGTTGCCATGTGATTCTCTTTTATGTGACCATTTGTTTTTATAAAGCTGAAAGAAAACCCTTGATTAAATTGAATGTGAAGGACAGAATTTTCCTCTGCATATAGTCTTGATTTTCAAAAAAAAAAATACTGATTCGGGACATAAAAAAAGAAAAGTTTTATTTCTTAACATCACAGCGTGTTGCTGTAGACATGCATGATGTTTCAGTCCTCTTGTAAAAGTGTTTTGGCTATTGTTTCTATTTTGTAACCTGTAAATGCAAATTTAAAAAGATTATTTTGGATATGTGCATGCTTGTGAAATGTTCAGAATGTTGATTTCCACTAAAAGCTGTTGAGTTTGGAACAAGAAAAAGGTCATGTCTGTTACTTAAAACTAAATATACTGGCCTTTTGAGGAGTAGGTATTTTTTTAAAAACGTCTAGACGTATCTAATTTTAGTTAAAGTTTAGCTTGTTTATAATAATAAAAAAAGGCTAAACGTGAAGTTGTATTTAACAGTTTACACATTACATATCTAAGTATATGATATGCTTCCAATGTAAAAGCTAAATTGGCACTGAAATTTGTGAATGCCTCTGAGGGTCAGCAGACAAATACTGAAAGCATTTTGGGGAAAAGCAAAGTAAATTGTTGCTTCATTTTGTATTAAACAGGGAAAGAATAGACATTTACAAGAAGTGAAAGCATTCGTATAACAGTTGCAGGAGGCTGGAATAACTTTCTGAATTGCTATTTGATATAAAGCAATGCACCTTTTGTATTACACTGTGCAATGGCAGTGCATCAACTACTTTTGCATTAAACCCCTGTCAACTCTCAGAGGTTCTGCAAACGGTTAAAAAAACTAAACAAAACAAAAAACACCTAAATCCTAATTTAAGAGCTAAACATTCTGGATTTCTAAAATACCCAAGTAAACTTTACAAAGTTGTAGCCATCCTGCAATCAGCATTTTAATCACACAGTTTAATGGTGCTAATAGTCTGCAGGTCAAAATCAATTCTTGCAGGTTTAATTGAGCTGTTGCAGCTGTGTGATTACTTTTAGAGATGGACCCAACAAAATACCCATCAGCTAAAACGATACAGAAGATTTTAAAACTGCTTCAAGGGAGAAAGTAATGTGACAAATGGTGTTGCTTTTCAACTGTGTCTAATTTTTCTAACCATCCTATGCAGAAATGTTTATACAGTAAACAAACATCTATGTAGACCACAGAAGACACCAAATAGAACACAAAAAACTCAATATGGCGGAGAAAGATGCACAGAAATGAGCATGAACACGTGTCGGTGTTTGTTCTAAATAGAACTGGACCTATGTAGAGAAGAGCCCAACCTAAATTACCACAAGCTTCAAATGTTTAATGGCAAAATGTTTCTGTTTCATTTTCATAAGATCACCAGCCTTGTCTCCAAAAATTAAGGTGTTTGTCCCTGAATGCATTTGCAAAGTATAATCTGCTTTTATATTGCTTTTGGCTTCTTCCTCAATGAGTGGCTGTTCAGCCCATGTTAGTATATGACTCATTTGATAATGATACTCTATTACCAGCTTCAGCCAGCATGCTCCCATAGCATGCTATTTTGTTCGGGCATTGATACACATGCCACTGAAACCAGAATTGCATACACTGGATAAAAAGACAAATTTTTTTCTCACTGTCTGAAGTTAAATCAGATGAAATTTCTCTTGTTTTACATTAGTTAGAATTACCAAAATTATTTATATGTTCTAGATGCCAGATAAAGGGAGAACAATTTTAGAGATTACTTTGTAACTTTCTTTGAATTCTGAACTTTACATGTATTTGGTCAGTATCAGAGATAACTATCTTTTAAACTATATGACTTGAAACAAACCCAAAAGGTGTGAGCCTTGTCATACAAGCCAGAATTTTTGGTTTCAGAAGTATTTCACACAATGAGTTCTTCTGATTGATATCACAAATTATCCCATCAAAAATGTAAAAAGCCATCATATGACAATTTCACCAAATGACTTAGAAGCATATAATCTTAATGTATGAAATATTTGACTATGAAGAAAGCAAGAAACATCTCTTCAAACATAATATCTCTTATTCTGGCAGATAGGAGATAGAAATAATTTTGGAATCAAATAACTTGAAATGCTCTTACATTTAAGCAGTTTTTAATCTGACCAAAAGAGCAAGTTTAAGAATGACATTTATTTTAATTATGGTCTATTTTTAAAATGTTTAAAAAATTTGCAGCAGGATGGATTTGGTTACTTTTTTAGAAAGTCATGTGAAACTGGTTAGTTTGCTCAACTGAATTCAGTTCATACTTTAACTTTCATAATACATGAATTTTAAAATATCTTTCATACATTTAGAGTGGCGCCTCAAAGGTTTAGGATTTTTAGGAGGACAAGGCTTCCACCTGGTGGCCAAATAAAAACATGCGCTGATCTTACGAAAATCAGGCATCTTGTTTTTCAGAAAATAATTATCTTATGCATTGTGGCTTTTATTATAAGGTTTAATTCTAATTTTAACTTATTTAATATTCGTCACAACAGGCGAATGCGATTTTTGCTCCATATGACTGCAACTGGATAAACAACTGTGCAGAGACGAACCGGTCAATCTTCAAATATATTCACGATTAATTAAGAAAATTAAAGATTATAATTCTATTTTGAAAACAACCCTTTTTAGCGGGAGCAAAGTGTTACTACCATTATTTGAGCTGTTTCTATGTGCGAGGGGAGGTTGCTGCTGCTGCCACCGTTTTGGAGTCGGTACACAAGCCAGTGCCCCTGTCGTAACCATAACAACAATCTGAGCAGTAGGAGGTGGGAGGAGTAGAAAGGGTACGCCCTAAGAAACTTCTGATTGGTCAGTTGAAGTAGGCAATCTGCCTCTTTCCTCTCCTTAATTTGCTCCGTCTACTGTCACATTAAAAAGCCGCTTCCTGATTGGCTACGTTTCATCTCCTTTACCCTCCCTTGGTGAGTAATCTCTTTCAGAACTCCGTCTGAAAACAACGACAAGGCTTTAACAAGAGAAAGAAAGTGTTCAGCTTGGCTTGTTTTTAGGAGATAAAGGTTCACCTGCCTTTGGTCTATTCTTTGTTACTTTTGGTGCGTTGCTGTTTGTACAAAGCTGGCAATAAGGCTGTAAGGGATGTAGGGGCCGTTTAAGCCGCCGGGTGTTGTTGGGTTACGATGGAGGGACCTGCCACAAGGCAAGTGGTTTACCGTTAGCTGTTAAAAGTTGTGGCTCAACTGAATACAATTTATTTTGTTCGTTTGTTTGTTTTGTTAGTTCAGATTAAGTGTGAAGTGTACACTAGCGTACGTACAATGTGTGGATGTGAATAATGAGTTTAATAAATCCAATGTCGTTACTCTTCACAGAGACTTTGAGTTATCTCTGTCAGACGGCGCCTCGGACGACGACGACGACGACATGCCCGTGACGCTGCCGACAGACAGCAGCCACAGCGGGAGCATCCGCAAGGTGAGACCAGGAACTCGCCCAGTGACATGTTTCATCTGCCTGTTTGATGATTATGGCTTGCTACTAACAGAAACGCACAATTCTTCATCTCAGATTATTACACTGTTACAACCAATAATAATAAAAAGTTGTTTGTTTTTTTTTATAGCAGAAATGTCATATAATGGTCTATACAGTCATGGAAGACTGCTGACTTGACACTTGTTCAGCATACAGTCACTAACTCCTCCACATAGAAGATAAGGCACAAGGGACACCAGTTGTACTCAGTACCTCAGCAAGGGAAAATTGAGTGGTAGGAGAAAGGCACACAAGTTGCCATATTCAACTTGTGTGCCTTTAATTAATGAATAAGAGGTAAGGAGAAAATGAACTGGACTGCCGTTCAATGATCCAAGTCCTCTTTCAAATTAAAGTAATTTTTGCAGATTCTTGCTTAAACTCAAATCACCTATTTTTAGATGATTGGTAGCCGGACTATCCCATGGGAACTTCAGGTGAAAGATAAAGGCACTGGCTCGTGTTCCAACCCGTTCTGCTGTCCAGCCCTTGTGCTGCATACTACACAAAAAACACATAAGTATTCATTTAAAAATTAGTGAAAATCAGTAGCTTGGGCAAAATATCTAACTTTAATATATAATCCTCCCAGTAATATGTCTTGCTTTAAAGTTCGGTCATTATATTGCAGAATTAAATCCAGATCTGAGCAAAACACGTTTTTTTTTGTTTTGATTGGTTAATCCTTTAATTTTCTAAATCATGTGTGGACATGTTTGAAACCATTCACCTGTTGCATTATTTGACAACTCATATTTGTGCATACCTTGTCATTTTCCGTCACTGTTAAATGAAACCGAACATTTTGGGATGCCAGTGTCTCCTCTTTTACATGTTTTGTGCTCTGTTGTTGAGCAGCCTCTGTCCTGCTGGCTCCCTGATGGTTGAGCAGAGGTAGGAGCTCAGCCAGAATCCTAATCCACACAGGCACTTTGAGGATTACTTGACGTTTGCATGTTAAATAAACACTTTCATTTGGGTGAGCAGGAATGAAACAGGGAAGTGAGTGCATTAAAATGAAAGAAGGTTACAAGTTTCCTGCTTGCAGGACTGAAAAGGTGATTAGAAAAAGTTTGGTGGAGAAGCAGAGGGAGTATTCAGCATGTTTAAACTCCAGCCCCTGCTTAATATAAACTCATTTTCTTCTCTTTATTACTAATGTTAAACTTGCTTCTAAAACCGTCTGCAGTCTACTGAAGGGAAAAAAAAAATACTTGCAGACTGGAATAATCCTAACTCTATCAAAGTAGTTAAACCAAATTCTCATTTTCGCTGCTGGATGCAAGAATCAGAAAAAACGTTTTCTCCTCCTGTGGTTTAATGTCTCCCTTGCAGGGCTGTGATCCCTTCGCCCAGACTCAGCGCAGTAAACTGCAGCATCGACGAGCTCGCATCAACCAGCAGATCAACAAGGAGATGCGCATGAGAGCAGGAGCGGAGAATCTTTTTAGGTAAACAACATGAACTTACTACACCGGTGCCTTTCTATGAACCGCACTGTTAATATACATTGATCCTCTGGCGATGGAGAAATTAGACAAAACTGATACGAGTATGGGCGTTTAGAACATTTTTGTTTGAATTGCTGTTCACTTGTGGATTCTTTTAGCGTTCCTTTTCATTTGCATTTAAACCTTCTTTCACCATGTTCTGCTTTGCACATCACAACAAAAACGCTGTACATCTAAAGCGCCCTCTACCATATAAAACCTGTAATAGATGTAGAAACTGTGTTTTTAAATTGCTTTAATGTCTTTGCTTACTAACAAAAATGCGATTTTAAAACAATAATAATTTTGATTTATTAATTTGAGGAAAATAAAACTCATTTATTCACACCAAGGACAAGAGCAGCTTAGGGATCTGGGAGGACATGTGCTATGCCAGATTTAAACTGTTGAATATAAACATATTTACTGTCTCAGCTGATGCTTAGTTAGTACCAAATATCCGAGCACAAGTGTGGTGGTGAGCATTATGGCAGTCCTGTTTGATGAATTTGTCAATTATCATCACTCTAGAACTAAACAACATTTAAGACATAAAACTAGAAAATGTTTTTGAGACATGAGAAAACATTTAGACAGCTTTTTTTTTTTTTTTTTTTTTTTAACCAGAAAGTTTTCCTACTGTTAAATTTTATATCTGTCTCATTAGTTACAAGTTGTGCAGCACTCAGAGTGGGAGTAAGTCATGTATCGAAAAATACAATTCACATAGGGGAAGTGATGTCACATTTCCACTAACATTGTGTGAGTGTAGGGTCATTATGTGAAACAGTGGTTAGAGCAGGCGCCCCATTTACAGAGGTTATGGATATTAACGCAGCCGTCTCGAGCTCGACTCCCGTCCTCAGTTACTTTTGCTGCATGTCTCTTTTTCCCAACGAACTTGCATGATTTAAAAGAGCATGAGATGTAAAGTTGTTGGTTTAAGACATTTATATGTCCCTCATTCACTCTTCTCAGAAGTTGTTTGACTGCAGCAAGTTGTTCTCCACCAATGTTTTGTAATTCTCTGGATCGAAAACCTGTTAGATTGCATGGCTGATTCTCAGATGGTAAAACTATATTCTTTTAGTTTGTAAATTCACAGAAAAGGAGCACGTTTAGTTTTTGGTTGTGGTTAAATTCAAAATGTGCTTCTCTTTACAGAAACATGCATAGTAAAATTAAACATTGCATTTTATTTGAAACATCCAAAAGTTACACAGCAGTGTGTTACTGTAAATCTACCACTACAGTAAAATCTCCCAGGTTATTTTTATCTGTGCCTCTGTACAAATAAAAGTCAACGAGTAGAAATAGAAATTATCTCCTTTATGAAACGGGTTTTTAATGTAAATGTTTCCAGAGGTGTAAATGTACAATCAGACACTTATGTTGAGTAAAAAAGCTAACTCTGCCAACAACCCAGGTCTCAGTTTGGTTGAAGTGAACTCTGAAGCAGTTTGAGTACATATGTGAATGCCAAGAGGACCGGAGACCGCTTCACAAGCAGGAAGCAGGAACTATGGCAGAGGGAATTCTGGGTAAATAGAACAAAAAGAAACGTACATGTCTTGTTCTAGTGGGAGAAATGACTTACGGTCTTTTGCCAAAGACAAAATACTTTTTTTTGTTTTTTTAAACAAAAAAATGGAGATTTTTTTGTTTAGATTTTACAAAGAAGAAAGGTTTTTTTCAAAGGGTTTAGTTAATGAAAGTGAAATGCACCAGCTGAAAATGTAACAAATGTTGCAATTGTGGTCCAGCTAAGTCTGCAAATCATTTTGTACACTGGTTGCTGTGTTGTTTGTGATTTGTGAAATCTTTTGGATTTGATTCTTTGTTTTCCCATTCCTGCTTCCTTTTTTTTTTCCATTGAAATAATTAATCACACATTAGAGCTGGCAGTTTTTGTTAAAACGTGATGACTCAGTTCTGTGCAGATAACGGGGAAAAAAAAGCGAAAAAAAAAAAAAAAAGCACTCCTGCGCCTTCTTTTTGGACGCTTGGTCAGAGAGACAAAGAGGACCCCCACACGGCCCGGCAGCCTGTAATCAACCAGCTTTGTGTCCGCCTCCCGTCCTGTTCCCATGCAGAGATTCCCAGTGAGTTTCACTGAGCTCATCCCCCCACTCATCTGGCTGGCAACCTCCCCCTTCATAGTTTGTTAGTGTGTGTTTGGTTATTCACCATGCAGTTTTACTCACTGACACTTTTGGGAAACTGGCTTGTTTTTAGGAGTGCTGTCCTGTGGGAGGGTGTTCAGTGATTCTTGTTGTTTAACAAAGAAGGGTGTTAGTAATATGCCACGCTCTCAGGTTTCCTCTTAAAACTTCAGTACCTCTGATGTTTCTTAGGTGAGTTAGTCAGGGTTTTTTTTTTTCTCCTGATGTCCGTGCAAGTGTGTGTAAATGAAGGGGATATTTGGCAGCCCATTTAAAGCTGACTAATCAGATTGCCTTTGGCGTGAGACTAGATAAATGTGTATGCTTGTGTGCATGTTGAGACTTGAGATGGGAGTGACCAGTAAAGAGACTGCAGGTCCTTTTTTTTTTTTACTGGTTTTATACCCAAAGTAGAAAGAAAATAAGACTCTTTAGTTATTTGTTTATTCCAAGTTGAACAGTTATTGCAAAACTCACAAATATTATCGCAAATTACGATTCCCCAATATTTTCCCAATATTCTGCAATCCCAAATTTTTTTGTTTTGTAAATATTAAAAAAATGACAGTGGGACAGTTAGAAATTTATTTATATGAGGATTGAAGTTAATAATAACATTCATGAAAGGAAATCGGGGGGGAAAAAAAGAAAATTGCTAAATGTTTTTTCACTGACGGATTACATGGAAAAGCAAATGAAGTCAGACAGTGCTGACAAGGAAAAACCCTGTGATCAAAGTGTTGTGAAATTGTACAGCTCCAGCTCCTTACACACTCATTAATTATTCTACAAACTGCATGTTTTAAATAAACGACCTCCAAATGTAATGGAGATGTTTGCGATTCTGTGTTAGCATTGGAGTTCACTTTATTCCAGCCTGTTCTTATGTGCTTATTCAGTCATTGAGTTTAGGAGGTGGAATAATTTCTTTGCCAAACCCAATGATTCCTCAGACTTCCTGGAACAACAGTGTGAGCTGGCTTTGCTCTGTGCCAAGTCTGTGTTTAGAGAACAGTAGAGGCTCTGATCGACTAATAGGACAGTGGAGTTACCCAATAATAGCAAATACATATGTTGTTTTTTAACTGTATAAAAAAAAAGTGGTTCTTAAAATAAAATTCATTTGAATTACACTGTGTGCGCTATTATTATGTAAGTGAGCAATTTAACCATATATATTTCTGAACCCCAAGCTGTAAAAACATACACACGCCTATTAGTTTTAAGCAGGCGGTGTGTTTTCAACACCCTACATCAAGTTGTGCGTATTTATTGGGTAGCTTCTGTTATATCATGAGTATTTTTGTAAAGGAACCAAAAAGGGGATTCTGTTGATAATTGATTCTGTTTTAAAAAAAAAATAAAAAATTTATTTTGCAGGGCAACAACCAACAACAAGGTGAAGGAGACGGTGGCTCTGGAGCTCAGTTTTGTCAACTCCAACCTGCAGCTGCTCAAAGAAGAGCTGGAAGAGCTGAACAGCAACATGGAGGTCTACCAGACAGACAGGTAGTCACTCAGACAGTTCATGGTCTGTTTGTTGCATGCAATTTAGGCCATCCTCATTAAACTAATTATAATGAGCAAAAACAAGTGGATTGTCGTTTTTCTATTTTCACGCTCTGTTTAGGTTGCATATCTGTCTACAGTTATATTTGTGATGGTTTGTGCTTTAAACTTTCAAAGTAATATATTTCTTCCTTCGAAATGATCATTTTACATCTAATTTAGATTGTTCTAAATTAGACCTAAAATTTAGAGCAATGCCAGTAATTTTAAGCTATCAAGATACAAATTTTGTCTGTCAGTAGGTTTTTTTTCCCTCCACAGTCCAAGGTCAGGGCCAGGATAAACCCCCCTCATTTGTGTCATTAATGACCCCATCACATGCATGCATGCTTTGTTTGCAGTGCTAGTTAATGGTGGGGGCTTACCTGGGGGTTGAGCGGCCTGTGAGGCTTAATAATTGGCTTTAACATTGCTTGTTAGCAGGATCAGTCAGAGAGTGGAGCCCCCCTGCTGGGTTTTAAGATGAGCAGATGGCGGTGCGGACTTGTCTTCTGTTTGAAACCTGCTTAGTGCTTACGTATGACTAAGTCCCACAACGGGTATTTATGTCTGTCTACAGTGATGCCATTAGTGTTCCCATGATCCCCCTTGGCCTTAAAGAAACCAAAGAAGTGGACTTTACTGTTCCCATCCAGGTGAGAGTATTATTGTGATCATTGTTCAGCTATTTTTGTTCAGGAAAAGTCATTTTGCCTGATAAACTTTATATAAGAGCTCGATTTGACTAATTATGGACCTGATGTTCCAAACAGCTGATTGGATGAAACATTTGAGCGAAAGTCACACAATTCGATTATCCAAATGGAACGACATGAAAACACTCTGTTAATTTAGGTGTCCATTCTTTGAGCCAATCAGCAGACCTCAAAGGAAAATCATTGAGTTTGGCGAGATGAACCTTCGATCAAATCCTCTTTAGAACTTCCATATCCTAAATGTTCATTACAAGTTAACCAGTTCCTATTCCAGTTAAACTGGATTCAGAACTGTGAAAGTCTCTACA